CTGCCCAGCGGCTGACTACAGGAAGCCCAAGGCAGAGTTGCTCTACCCCGGGCTTCCTGGAATCAGCCGCTGATGAGTTTCAACAGTGGCTCAATCTGGACGCCAGTTCCGACTTACATACAGATTCAGCTTAAGAACCCCAGGTCCTGTAGTCAGCCGCTGGTCAGTTTCAGCAGCAGCTGAATCTGTACGCCACTTCCGACTTGCGTACAGATTCAACTTAAGAACAAACCTACAGTCCCTATCTTGTACGTAACCCGGGGACTGCCTGTATATGGGTGAGGTCTCAAAAAGCAAATGGTTGATAACCCCTGGAGTAAGGAACATTTCAGGGATCACTCTGTATATAAAGAGCCTTGAAAACCTGAATTTGAATAGCTACAAAAAATTCAAAACTGCCAAAAAAAAAAAAAAAAAACCCTCCCAAAATGAAATTAATAAGCCCAGAAAAAGAGAAGCCCTGTTGACTTTTTGCAAAATGAGTTAAAGCGTATGATTCCACACTTTGCGGTCTAGAGCATCTACTGATGGATGGGTGCATGTTTTTTTTCTCCTGCATCTGTTTTGTTTTTTAATAGACTTTCTAGTCTTCATTAAATTAGGTTTCTTTAATCCTATAAAACCAAATCTAAGCCATTTTAATTGGTGGAGTTATTGATTACTGATATTGGTACAGCTGAAACACTTCAATAGTTTATTTAGGTATATTGATTTTGAAATTTTTGTATTTGCACAATATCCTTTTATGGTAATTATTCAGCCTATTAAAAATGAAAATTTTACTTTGCATTTGTAAGCTATGGAAGAGTGTGTAAATGGATTTTCAGTCAGAAATAAAACATTTTAATAATGTCAGTGATCTTACCAACTTCTGTTGTTGAGATGCTGAATATGTTTCCACAGATTGTGACATCTGCATCAACTGATCTCCAGGATTATACTTATTATTTTGTCCCTGCTCCTTGGTTGTCTGTAAAGCTTTTGAGGCTGTTACAATGCTATCCACCTCCAGGTAATGTAAAGAATTGTGTTAGTTGTCAGCATTGTTCCCTGCAATGTATAAAGACTTCTAATTCCACACTTATGTTCATTGTACTGAATTATTTGGTAAATTTAGTGCTAACACCAACAATTTTCTTCTAAATTGGACAATAACTTAATTTGAAGGTAAGTATGCTCATTTAATCAGTTTAGAAGAAAATAAAGTTGTCCAACAGTTTGTTTTGTTTTTCCCCAGAAGATGCTGCGGTACGAGGTCGTCTCACAGAATGCCTGGAAACTATCCTTAACAAAGCTCAAGAGCCCCCAAAATCTAAGAAAGTGCAACACTCAAATGCAAAGAATGCTGTCCTATTTGAGGCAATAAGCTTAATTATACACCATGACAGGTGAGTCTACTACTTGTAGTGCAATGTTTAAGGCTAGCATGCTTGACATGTCATTAACATTACTTTTCCATCTAATAAAATGGTTTCATTTTCTATTATCTGGAAATTGCTGCTACTTCTTCAAGAGAGATCCCTGTGAGTGCTTCACATTAGGTCAGTGTGCCGCTGCTGAGCCTCGAAGTGGAGATTTCAGAGCTGTGCTACTGGGGCCACATATGCGCGCACCAGCAGCTGCTCGCTGGTAGGCTGCAGGCATTGCACATGCGAGAGCCTAACCACGCTCCTCAGTTCCTTCTCTACCGCCTCCAACTTCAGACAGACTCAGCAGTGCTCCCTAGCTTCTTTGCGTCTATATGATTATACTTAAAACCAGTTAAATTCATTGTAGTAGTTGATTAGTGAGTTTTAATAATTAAATAGTTCATGAGTTCAAAAAAACCCCAAAAACCTTGATTAGCATAGGGGTTTTTTGTTCTCCTAGTTAATCCCTTCCTTCAGTCCCTTACTGCTTCCATAGGCATGCCTGGCTCTCTGGGATTTAAGTGCTGCACCTCATGTATAGAGCCTATCCCGATATCGGATGGTCATTCTCAATGCGTCCGCTGGCTCAGAGAGCAGCATAACTCTTAGAAATGCTTTCATTGTGCAAAACTAAAATTGTGGGCACGGAAAGACAGAGACTTCTGCCTCGAGTTATTTTTATTAGAAAACTCTTAGACCAGCGTCTGACCTGGGCCAGCAGCCTGATGAATATAAACAGTGGGGATCCAAAAAGTGAGCCTCCTCAGCACTCCAGGGGGCTACTGCACCAAAACGACCATCTCCCTCACGGCTGGTGCTGACAGCAGCAGCGGCGGCACCGTGCCTCAGCACTTCTGACAATGGCGTTTCCGGAGCCCCCAGCGCAGATAAACAGCAGGCATATGCTAGATCACACTCTGAGGAAACCGGCTTTAAATTGCTTTTTTCATTAGCTGCAGCACTGTCCAGCACTGAAACAATCTTGCCATGCAGCATGAGAGCGCGGCGCCGACCATGTTAACGGGTGCCTCAGCTGCTGCTAAGAGGTCCCTGATGCTGTGCAGGTGCCATTGGCACTGAGGCATGACTCAGCACCTCAGATAGTAGGACAAAGGCTATTGAGCATTAGACCTAACAGGGACTTATTATTCTCATCGACTTTTAATTCACCATTTTTAGAACCTGAGCACTCTCCCGCTGTTAACATCACAGAAATCACACTCTCAGGAAAGATTTTCATCTGAATCTGACGATGACTTCTCTAGGGGTTTTTCATTAGAGAATTCTTCTTACACAGATCAGTGTATTTACTCTTCAAGATTTGAGCTTATGCCTTCATACTATGGCAATCTCTGGGTACCTCCTCCTGAGTCCTACCTTTACTGGCAATACTGGAACAAATGGCAATATCAGAAACACCAGCATGGCCAGTGGCAACACAATGCAATATACCCCCTCCAAACAAATACAAGAAGGAGACCCACTTACACAGGAGGCAACACCCCCTCATGACCAAAATGACACCCCCCCACACAGTGGAGGGAGGCTCTCTGGCCCCTGCTTCAACTACTTCAGATGACACTGCACATTTCCAAGCCCTTTTTAAATGTGTAGCTGCTGAATTAAACATTCCTTTTCAAGAGGTTGTGGAAAATCAGCATGAGCTAACAGATATAGTACACTCAGTAATAACATGAAAAATAGCATTGCCAATTAATCCAGCAATAATGGAACTGGCAAAGATGGTGTGGCAAACTCCGGCGTCAATTTCTTTTACAGCTAAGAGAACAGATAAGAAATACTATGTCCCACCTAAGGGATCTGAATTTCCTTTTTCTTACCAAGCACCTAATTCCTTCTTGGTGGAAGCTGCACAACAAAAATCCAAGCAGCAACAATACCGGTCTACTCTATCGGACCGTGACAACAAAAGGCTTGACGCATTTGGGCGCAAGAAATATATGTCTTCTGCTTTACAATTTTGCATTTCGAATTATGCAGCTTTATTGAGCAAATACGATTACAGAAATTACCCCCCCTGCCTCTGTAATTTCCACTCCAACTCATCTGATGAAGTGGATTTTACTCTCAAAAGCTTATGCCCTAACAAATCCCTTGGTCTCTAAGGTGCCATAGGACAACTCATTGTTTTTGTAGATACAGACTTGGTTACTCCTGAGACTTTTTTACTCTAGGTAATTACTCCACAGGTGTTTTATTATTTTTCTAATTTGTTGCTTTTTACCCTCTTTCACTTTCTCTCCTGTTGTGTAGTGAGCCAAACCTGCTAGTCCGGGCCTGTAATCAACTAGGACAGTTCTTGCAGCACCGGGAGACTAATCTGCGTTATCTAGCACTGGAAAGCATGTGCACACTTGCCAGCTCTGAATTTTCCCATGAAGCTGTAAAAACTCATATAGAAACAGTTATCAATGCTTTGAAGGTAAATATCAAGCGTTTAAAAATTCTGGAACATATTCTGCATCAGTTTTGAATCTGTTGCTCTTGTCCGAAGCTCATCAGAGTAGTCATATTGAGTTTTCTTAAGTCACACGAATAATATTCAAATGGCAGGAGACAAGACTTGAAAGGAATGAAGTATTCATCTGTAATGTCCAGTACTGTAGGTTTTTATCAGTGGATAGATGTTGAAATTGCAGTTGTGACTTAAACCTTGAATGGGGTACTATTCTAGGCACAATTGTAATTCAGGTAGCCACTGATTAAATGCCAACTAATGAACTTGCCCTTGTTTTAAGATTCCAAAAACAGCACAGAATTAGTTTTATCAGATATCTTGGTTTCTTCAGTGTTTTGCCCAGCAGCACTTCTGAAGTGTGTTGCATAACAGCAGAAGAATGACCATACTGGGTCAGACCAAAGTTTGGTTTAGCCCAGTATCCTGTCTTCTGACAGTGGCCAGTGCTAGGGATGTTAAAGGAAACTGTTTAACTGATTATCCTGTAAATATTTAGGCTTACTGGAATGCTTACTGAGTAACTGGTTTCATGGCTAACTACGGCAAGCTGGAGCAGCCCTGGCTGAGTCCAGCTTACCATGGTGTGGGGGCCAGGGGTAAGCAGGCAGGACAACCAGAACCCTGCATGGGATGAGAGGTGGGACACCAGCTTTTCCGACGCAGGATGGGAGCAGCCTGGCAGGACTCCGGCCCTAGCCCTGCAGGCAGTTAAACTGGTGAAATGTTAACATTTTAGTTGAACCAGTTAACTATTTATAAACACTTTTTTACATCCCTACCTGGGGACCCCATTCATTCCCAGATTCTGGCAAACAGAGGCTAGGGACACCATTTCTGTCCATCCTGGCTACTAGCCATTGATGGACCTAGCCATGAATTTATCTAGTTCTTCACTTTTGGCCTTCACGACATCAGATATTTTTCTTCTAAATTTATAAGATGGCCTGCATGCTCTGGTTAGTCACAGCAAGTACCCTTAACACATTTATTTGCAACTTCTATTAATGTTGAATGTCTGATTTTTAAATCCCCCGACTGACAGAACAAGGGGCAAAAATTAACTATCTGGCCATCTTAGTAATGCTCATAGGGTGGCAAATATTTAATTCTATACAAAGACATAACCGGCTATAAGAGTTAAAAAGTCTAGTAGTATCTCTATATTACATGGTAGTTTATTGATTTGATATTTCTCTTAAATGAAGTACCTTTCTTGTCATCCAGGCATTTGTACACATTTTCAAATATAGCTTAGAAAAACAAAATAAAATAATTGAAATAGCTGAAATTTTTTACACAATAACTTGTGCCCAAAATAAACCATTGAGGCCTCAACTAATCCCTTCCCTAGTTGTGTGATAAATGTGAGAATGAAGCAGCAACTTTGGCAAACGCTACTAGATTCTTGGTTGCAGAATGAACTTGTATAATACCTCTGTGTAGGAATAATACAGATAATAACTGTGGCAGTTGTTATAATCAAGGCTTAACAATAATATAAAATACAGGACTATGTAGCACTTTAAAGACTAACAAGATGGTTTATTAGATGATGAGCTTTCGTGGGCCAGACCCACTTCCTCAGATCAAATAGTGGAAGAAAATAGTCACAGCCATATATACCAAAGGATACAATTAAAAAAAAGTAACATATATGAAAAGGACAAATCACATTTCAGAACAGAAGGGGGATGCGGAGGGTGGGGGGGAGAAAAGGAAGATGAATGCCTGTGAGTTAATGATATTAGAGGTGGGGAAGGGTAGTTGTCTGTGAGTTAATAGTATTAGAGGTGATAATTGGGGAAGCTATCTTTGTAATGGATAAGATAGCTGGGGTCTTTGTCAGCCCCCCTGCGGAGAGTGTTGAATTTTAGCATGAATGCCAGTTCAGAGGATTCCCTTTCAAGTGCAGATGTAAAAGGTCTTTGTAGCAGAATGCAGGTGGTTAAGTCATGGTTAAAGTGGCAAGAAACTGTTTTCTCTTTGTGATCTTGTCTGATATCTGTTTTGTGGGCATTAATCCTTTGGCGAAGTGTCTGAGATGTTTGTCCAATGTACATAGCAGACGGACACTTTCGGCACATGATAGCGTAGATTATATTTCTGGATGCGCAGGAATATGTGTTCTTGATCTTATAGCTCACTTGGTTAGGTCCAATAATGGTATCAGCAGAATGAATATGTGGACAAAGCTGGCAACGGGGTTTGTTGCAAGGGAAGGTACCAGGGTTGGTATTAGTGTGGTATGTCCTGTGGTGGTTGGTAAGAATCATCTTGAGGTTAGGTGGTTGTCTATAGGAGACTATGGGTCTGTCTCCCAGAGCCTCTTTGAGTATGGTATCCTGTTCCAATATAGGCTGTAGTTTATTGATAATGTGTTGGACAGGTTTAAGTTGGGGGTTGTAGGTGATGACAAGTGGTGTTCTATTGTTGGTTTTCTTGGGTCTGTCTTGAAGTAGATGGTTTCTAGGTATTCGTCTGGCTCTTTCAATTTGCTTTTTTGTTTCTCTGGGTGGGTAGTTGAGATTTATAAATGCTTGGTAGAGATCCTGAAGCTTCTGGTCTCTGTCAGTGGGGTTAGAGCAGATGCGGTTGTATCGAAGGGCTTGGCTTTAGACGATGGATCGTGTGGTGTGTTCTGGATGGGAGCTGGATGCATGTAGGTAACTGTATGAGTCAGTGGGTTTTCTGTAGAGAGTGGTGTCTAATTTTCCATTGTTGATTTGTACGGTGGTGTCCAGGAAGTGGATCTCTCGTGTAGAATGGTCCAGGCTGAGGTTGATGGTGGGGTGTAGGTTGTTGAAATCTCTGTGGAATATCTCCAGCGTTTCTTGGCCATGCGTCCAGATCATAAAGATGTCATCGATGTAGCGTAAGTAGAGAAGGGGTAAAAGAAGATGGGAGTTGAGGAAACATTGTTCTAGGTCAGCCATAAAGATATTAGCATACTGTGGGGCTAAGCGTGTACCCTTGGCTGTGCCGCTGATCTGGAGGTATAAGTTGTTCTCAAACTGGAAATAATTGTGGGTGAGAACAAAGATACATAGGTCTGCTATCAGGTTGGCAGTGGTGTCCTCTGGGATAGTGTTTCTAATAGCTTGTAATCCGTCTTCATGTGGGATGTTGGTGTATAGTGCTTACACCATCCTTGCCACCATGGATGTAATATTGGGGAGGTTATTGATGTTTTGTAGTTGCCTTAGGAAGTCACTAGTGTCTTGGAGATAGCTGGGGGTGTTGGTTGCGTAGGGTTTGAGAGAGTCTACATAGCTGGATAGACCAGTAGTGAGTGTGCCAATACCAGAGATGATGGGGTGTCCGGGGTGTCCAGGTTTAGGGATCTTGGGAAGCAGATAGAAAAAACTCACAGGCATTCACCTCCCATCCCCCCCCGCATCCCCCTTCTGTTCTGAAATGTGATTTGTCCTTTTCATATGTGTTCATTTTTTTTAATTGTATCCTTTGGTATATATGGCTGTGACTATTTTCTTCCACTATTTGATCTGAGGAAGTGGGTCTGGCCCACGAAAGCTCATCATCTAATAAACCATCTTGTTAGTCTTTAAAGTGCTACATAGTCCTGTATTTTGTTTCAGCTACACCAGACTATCACTATTCTAACAATAATATAGTGTTCATTGTGAAAGCTGCATCTTTTCAGTAAATTATCTACATTTTGCAAATGGAGGTGAAGTAATTTTGGATTCTCTTGCCTTTTGCATGATTTTTAGTAGAACTTCTGCTTTGAGTGAGCATTATGGCTGTGGTTTCTCTTACAGACTGAAAGGGATGTGAGCGTAAGACAAAGAGCAGTAGACCTCCTGTATGCCATGTGTGACCGAAGCAATGCCCAGCAGATTGTTGCCGAAATGCTAAATTACTTGGAGACTGCTGATTATTCCATTCGAGAAGAAATTGTGAGTTATTTGTGTCCCTTTCACCAATTTCTGATAACCTGTGTTGGGAAACACAGCATGCAATTGGATGTTGTGTAATCTCTCTCTATTAAAGATATTTTCAAGGTAGCAAAAAATAAAAACATGGGATCTGAAAGGCTGTTGTAGTCTAATAATTTATCCTTCTATTATTAGTGTTCTGACCTTGGGAGGAGTATATTAAAAATTGTCCTGCATTTTGCTTCAAATACCCCAGACTAACACGGCTACATTTCTATCACTATATTAAAAATGAAACTCTTGTTTTCAAATTGTGGATGATGCAGAACTGTATGCTGTACTGTAAAATTTCCTTCACTGACCTGAAGATTTTGTATTAGGTTAGTGTTAAATAGAACAATATGCAACAGAGTTCCAGTTTGTTTATAAACTCAGTGTGATTAAAGCAGTGACAATTTATTTAGTATTAGCGCACATACCTGGCATTTCTCAGGACCTTAAGGAAGGAATCAGGGTAGGGTCCTGGGGCAGTGCAGGAGTCAGAGCTGTGGGGTGAGGAGAAGCTCTAGGCAGAGGACTGAGGGTGTGTGTGTGTGTGTGTCTGTATAGATGAAAGGGTGGGGGAAAGTCTGAAGCCCCTCCTAGAATCTTATCAGGTTGCTTGTTTTTCCCCTTCCTGTTCCTTTCAGGGACAGCTTATTTGCCCCCTGCACTCCTCATCCAGAGTCACGAATGCAGCAACCTGTGCACTTTCCCCTTGTTCCCTGAGGAAGGGGAACAGCCAGCTATGTCCTCATACAGATCTTGGGGGAATCCTGCTGGGGCTCTTGTACATTTCAAAGGCAGAACATGGAAGTGATTATCGACTAGTTGAGTAATCAATGGAAATTCCATCCACTACTTGACTAGCAGATTAATCACTACTTAACAGCCCTATTTCTGATGGGCAGAGGCTAGCGACACCATTCCTGCCCATGCTTGCTAATAGCCCTTGATGTATCCCTGTTCTTTTAATAGTTCCAAAACATAGAACTGTCTTTCAATCCAGAGCACTTCTTGGAAATCAATACTGTAAATGAGGTTAGAGTTAAAGGAAATAGAAGTACTCATGTATTTTCTTGGCACCCTAAACATACTGGAAAGATTTGAGTGAAGATTAGTAATTGAAATGTCTATTCTGGGCTACCTGCTGTAGTATTAAGTATTGGCCTCCAGAACCCACTGATCGCTATAACCCTTTAAGGCTTTTGCTTGTGTGTATGTTTTTTCTGTGCTGGCAATCTGGAAATATTTTTTTCCCCTCTGTAGAATTGTAGCAAATTGAGTTCTCTGATCAAGCATCCTTAGTTGGCTGGTTTAAATTGATCAAAGATCTCACTTCTTGTACTGTCGTATTAGTCCAGGTTGAGGACAGAGTTTAATTACACACATAAAGGATACGATAGTTTGATACATAATAGTCCAAAAAAGGTATCCGTAATAGCAGTTTTCGAAAAAAGAATAAACAAGTTAAAGCAGACTATCTCCAGGCTGCTGCATGTATGACGAATGCACTCTGACATTCAGATCTATATTTTTCTATGCTGCTTGGCCTGCCTTTATTACAAGCCCAGTTGTGTATTTAGGCAAAACTCCCACTAACATTCTATAAGGCCTTTCTTTATTTGAACAAGGATTTCTGAAAGCTTGCCACTATATACTGTTTTCTACATTACTCATGGACTCCATGCTTATTTGTGAACAACTCTTCACATTAATTTTTTTGTCTTGGATTATACAGTAAATTTCTGATAATCCAGCACCTTTAGGACCCAGGGGGTGTCGGATTATCCGATATGCTGGACTATCGGAAGGGGGGGCTATGAGGCGTCTGGGGTAGGATGGGGGGATGCTACCCCATACCCCTCATAGCCCCCTCCTTCTGATAGTCCGGCTCTGCCCCAGGCGTCCCCGATTCAGCTGCTGCTGGTCAGTTTCAGCAGCGGCTGAATTGGGGACGCCTGGGGCAGAGCAGCTGGGGTGCTGCCTGGTTGGTCCGGTAGCACCACTATTCGGCGCTGCAAGACCAACCCAGCAGCACCTCAGCTGCTCTTGGGGACGCCTGGGACAGAGCAGCTGGGGTGCTGCCGGGTTGGTCCCGCAGCCCTGAGGGGGGCAGCACTATGGGACCAACCCTGCAGCACTCTAGCTGCTCTGCCCCCGGCTTTCCCCCGCCTGGTCAGTTTCAGCAGCGGCTGAATCAGGGAAGCCAGGCGTAGAGCAGCTCCAATTGTTCAGCAGCTGGAGCACTTCTGGGTTCCTGATGGTGCCGGACCATCAGAAGTGCATGCCGGAGCATTGGGTGCCGGACCAATGGAGTTTTACTGTACCTTTTAGCTAAGGATACCTTTTCTTTGGAGATTTCTTAATTTACTTCTGTTTCCTGTTTTGGTCAGGTACTGAAGGTTGCAATTTTAGCTGAAAAGTATGCCGTGGATTATACCTGGTATGTGGATACAATCTTGAATTTGATTCGTATTGCTGGGGACTATGTCAGTGAAGAGGTGTGGTACAGAGTTATTCAGATTGTGATTAACCGGGACGATGTGCAAGGATATGCAGCAAAGACAGTCTTTGAGGTAAGTGACGGGTTTTTTTACATTTCTAAGATGAAAAGTCCTATGCTTCTGTATCTAAGTGGAAATTAGACATCATAATATCTAATTGGAAACAATATTCGTGTTCAGAATTCCCAATGAAATGTTGATGGCAATTAAACAGCAGTCCTCGAAAGAGAAGAATGACTTCAGCCATGCACTGTTGAAGCTTTGTGTCTTGAATCTATGGATAGTTTTGTTTTGTACCAGAGACCAAAATTCGTGGGAAACCTCTATTTCTGATTTGGTTTTTCCTTGCATTTCATAGGAAATGCACAAGACCTGGAGTACTTGTTGTTTATAAAGCTCCTATATTCAGAATGGTTTTACAAACACCTTTCTGGTGGTACTGATAGTGAACACCCTTTAATCCAAGTACATAGTACTTCTGAGGCTATTCCATAAAGGCAATATCTAGTAAACGTGAGACTTAAGCAAGCTTAAAACAAGCAGCTGATTTCTTCCATTTTATTAGATGGTATCATCATCTTATCCTTTTTCTACATGGTCATATCACACATACAAAAATATAACCTTGAATTACTTTCTTGTGCTTCAGAAATATTGTGTTCATTGTTGTACCTCGCCTATCAAATTTTCAATAGCAAAGTAAAGGATGTAGCATTATGGTGCTGCCTGCTTGGAAGCAAAGAGAAAGTCCTGAACTTGCACCCAAGATTCCTCCTGCATCTCCTGCTCATCTTGCTGTCTTGTCAGGGCTCTATGGAATTAGGGGAAAAGAAAACAAGGACAAATGCAGCTCGAGACAGCTCCCTGCATGGTGTCAGAACAATCAGCACTAAGAGATGGTGCTCAGTCGGGTACTGTGACTCTCACCTTCTGTTAAGTGTTGAGATGAGATGCTAAAATATCAGTCATGATTTCACTGGCTCTGTAGTGATTCAGTTGCTACTAGACTATAAACCTGGTTATTGATTCTTTTCCTCTGCGTTCTCAGTGGATGTTGCCTGAGATTCTAGACTTGTTCTTTCTGGGCCTGTGTTCTATATCCACCTTAGCCTTTGGTGTGCTTCACACTAGTATCAGATCTGGAAGATATTCATTAGTTGCTCGGATATCAGGAATGTTGCTGTCCAGATTTGGTAACGCCAGTGTCCCGGGACTTCACAGTTGAATTTCAAAAACCATAAGTCATTTAGTGATCCCTAAGCAGGATATGACCCTCATCCTGCAGATGTGTTGAATATCCTGTTTGAGTTCTTAGAGCAGATTCTGTTTCCTTTAGATGATTTACCTTTATTGCTGTAATCCTTGTCCAGATGAGAGAGTTGAACTTTCCTATTTCTTGTTGCCCGCCTTTCTGGAAAGCCAGATTTATTATTTTTTTCCAGCATCCTTGGGGATTTATTCCAGAGAGGAATACTGGATTGCCCCTTCACAAATTTCATGCTTATAACTATGACACAATACTACTCTTGTATGTTGAGGATGTTCTCCAGTCCAGTTCTCAATGGGTACGAAGAAGCTGATCAACTGTTTTACAGCTGTAGCAAGGGAAAGGTTACAGATGAGTTTATTTTTAGGTGGATCTGAGGTCACACTTAGTCTGGTATGCCTCATCCTGAGTTGAGGCCATTTAATTTGGGAAACCTTCACTTCAGAGATGAAAAGCTTCAATGTTTTAACTTCTTCTTTCTCCGTAGTGGTACCATAAAATACTTTCCTAATATTCACTATTGTAGGATGGCAGAATAGGAAAATAACTGTTGCTAGTCAATAACTTTCTCTTTTCCCATTGCCTGTCTTATGCATATTGCTACCTATGCATATTCCACTTTGTATGTATGGGACACAATGTGTTACCTGCAAAAGCGACGAGGAGTCCTGTGGCACCTTAAAGACTAACTGAAGTGTAGGAGCATAAGCTTTCGTGGGCAAAGACCCACTTCGTCAGATGCATGTAGTGGAAATTTCCAGAGGCAGGAATAAATATGCAGGCCAGGATCAGGCTGGAGATGACCAGGTGGATCCAATCAAGGAGGATGAGGCCCACTTCTAGCAGCTGATCTGGAGGTGTGAATTCCAAGAGAATAGAAGCTGCTTTTGTAGTTAGCAAGCCATTCACAGTCTTTGTTTAATCCAGAGTTGATTGTGTCAAACTTAAAGATGAACTGTAGCTCAGCAGTTTCTCTTTGAAGTCTGGTCCTGAAGTTTTTTTGCTGCAGGATAGCTACTTTTAGATCTGCAATTGTGTGTCCAGGAAGATTGAAGTGTTCCCCTACAGGTTTTTGTATGTTGCCATTCCTAATATCAGATTTGTGTCCATTGATTCTTTTACGTAGGGACTGTCCTGTTTGGCCGATGTATATAGCAGTGGGGCATTGTTGGCACATGATGGCATATATTACGTTGGTGGATGTGCAGGAGAATGTACCAGTGACAGTATGGCTGATCTGGTTAGGTCCTGTGATGGTGTTGCTGGTGTATATATGTGGGCAGAGTTGGCACCGAGGTTTGTTGCAAGGATTGGTTCCTGAGTTCGAGTTATTATGGTGCGGTGTGTAGTTGCTGGTGAGAATATGCTTCAGGTTGGCGGGTTGTCTGTGGGCAAGGACCGGCCTACCTCCCAAGGCCTGTGAGAGCGAGGGATCATTGTCCAGGATGGGCTGAAGATCACTAATGATGCGTTGGAGAGGTTTTAGCTGGGGACTGTAGGTGATGGCCAGTGGTGTTCTGTTGGTTTCAGTGTGTTACCTGGCAGCTCTTTGCAAACATTCAAATGCTTTATGGTTCATGCTTATGAACATTTCTCCTAAAGGTTGCAAAGTAAAATAACATCACTATACTGATTATATAGAGCAACATAATAGTCTGTCTTTTGGTCATATCATTGATCCTTGATTAAATTATTTGTCTAATGGTTTTGACTGAATGCTCTTTTACAGGCCCTTCAGGCACCAGCATGCCATGAAAATCTGGTAAAAGTAGGTGGTTACATCCTGGGAGAATTTGGAAATCTAATAGCTGGTGACCCAAGATCCAGGTACAAATACCACCTTCTAAAACAGACCATTTCATATATTATAATTGTTTATCATGGAATCTTAATGCATTTTTCACAATGAATTCTTCTTCCCCTATCAGGTATTATAGTGATCATACAGCTAAGTGTTGAACTGTTACTTTTAACTAATGCATGTGAGTTATGATCTCTAGAAAACTGAACAAACTATATTTTTTCTTCCTTAAGTCCTCTGATTCAGTTCAACTTGCTGCATTCCAAGTTTCATCTGTGTAGTGTCCCCACCCGTGCACTGCTTCTGTCTACCTACATCAAGTTTGTGAACCTATTTCCAGAAATCAAAACTACCATTCAAGATGTACTGCGCAGTGACAGTCAACTGAAGAATGCTGATGTTGAACTACAACAGAGAGCCGTTGAGTATCTGAGGCTCAGTACCATTGCTAGTACTGATATCTTGGTAGGTAGATCTGTTAAATATGGAAAATTCTTTGCAAGTGGGTGACTATCCAATCCAATTCTAGATCTTCTGCCTGGACAGGATTCTACTTAAATGTTTTAGTGGATGTTGCTCAGTAAATAAACAGCCTAGACCTTTAAGATCAAGTTAAAGTAGCCCAGTATTGTCTTGTGCTTTTCCAGAAGATCGAGTTCTGCAACATTGTAAAGGTAGGATATAAAGCAGATGTAAACTTCTGAAACAGAGTATAGGGATGCATGCTACTCTGGCAACCCAGCCTTAACTCTGCCCTTCGGATCTGGCAGTAGTTACAGGAATGGTTCAATACGTGTGGAGCTATAGTAGGTAAACTTGAAGAGTCTATGGGAAAGTGCTGGCAAGTGTTAATATTGGTTTGCAAGGGTGGTGTATATCTTAACTTGTGTTCTTGTGTTAATTTTCGGAGATTACAGTGTAACTCATCTTGATGATCTGGAGTGGCATGAAGCCTCATCAGGCAACATTAATGCCGTATCAAAGTGTTTTGATCCAATAAAGCCCTTCCCACCTCCATCTTCCTTTTTGTTTCTGCTTTGTTAATATTTTTGAGCTCCTAAAGAGCAATGGTTAGAGGCATGGCAATTTCACTGAAGGATCATAGTAAAAATATTTTTGGAAGGTCAGTTCATTAGTTGTAGCCATTGAATTGGGTTTAAAAATCAGTGTTTGGATCATTCCTTATATTAAGGGTGGTGTGCACAGAAAAGTTACATCAACATAGTAGGGATGTGAAGGGTTAACCAATGGGTTTCCAGCCCCATGGATCCTATTGCAGGCAGGGGCACTCCAGCCCAGCTGGAGCAGCCCCTCTTCACACTGGGCCTAGCAGTACACTTGCTGGAGCAGCCTCTCTGTCCAGTCCCCCTTTAATCGGTTAACTGTTTAAATATTACGATTAACCAATTAAATGGGATTTTACATCACTATAGCACAGCTATCTTATAGGATGAGGGTTTTTCATGCCAAAGAGATTCTATTAAGCTGATCTAACTCCTTGTGTAGACAGTGCTACGGCAATGAAATAATTCTTCCATCAGTCTGGCTACTGCCTTCAGGCAGGTGGATTACCTACAGAAGAGGTTGTCAGACTGAGGACATGAAATATATTAACTGAGTAAGGGATGAGAAGCCACTTAACCTTTAGAGCAGGGAGTCTGGAGAGCAGTGGCTGCTGGATGAGCATGCAGCTTTGAAGGCAGTACTGTCGACCGCAGCACTGAAGTGAAGGTGGCAATGCCATACCAAGCCATCCTTTTCTGTGTTGCTGCTGCTGGCTGTGGCCCTGCCTTTATAGCTGGTCACCTGTGTGGCAGCTACTGCTCTCCACTCTGCCTTCAGAGTTGGGCAGCTGTATACATGCTTATATGGGGGGAGGGATGTGGGTGTGTGAAATGCTACAGGAACAAAGAAGGGGAAAATGATCAAATAAGTTTAAGAACAACTGATCCTACAGCAATGGTGGAACCCCTCCCTTTGCTGTAGTGTCTGTTCTCAAGCACTAGTGCAGCACAGCTGTGCCGCTGTAGCACTTGTGCCGATATGACCTAAGGATTTTTTGTTAGTGTGTGCTAGCCCCTCAGTAGTTGTTAGAGCACAGCCCTAGTGGGTGAAGATGAGTAAAAAGGTAGAGACCCTGAATTGCTTCAACAGCTCTTACACATTTCACCTCACAGTTCCAACCCCATTCTCACCCCATTGTACTCCCTTGCCCTACACCAAAAAAAGTTAGGAATGTGAATGTTAGAGTGGCTGTGTATTAGGAATCTGTTGAGCAAATATCAGTGACTGACTTGCCTTTGATTGCACCGGATTGAAGTGTATAAATCATAATGATTACTTTACCTGATCTGCTTACTGTGATGGGGCACCCCCATGCTTTATGAAATTGACTTATGAACACAAATATGCATAGCTCAAATATGCTTTGGACAAAATGCCTCAATAACCTATCAATCTTAATGTCATTAATCTGCTGGAGGTGCGTAGCTTATTTTGGCGTATGTATCACTCTCGTTTGGTGTTAGCTATATGGCATATGGAATGCTTTATGGTTTTAAATGTGCAAATGAAAGCCATCAAGGGTGTTTCTGTCATGTCTGCGATCACCTGTAAACGGCTTCTTCTGTCGTTTCAGTCTTAACAGTAGTTGGTCTTCAGCATGTGATCACCTCCAAATGGTAGGGTCTGACCAGGTAATTTACCATAGAAGGTGGGGGAGAACTCCAAGTCTCTGCCCAAAATGGAATCTGTAAAATAATGGGAAGCTAGCTGTCCCTGGGGTCTCTGGCTGGCACGCCGTTTTCCAGAGAATGAACCGGATACCCCAGGGAAAAAGAGCTTTTCTGGCTTGGAGGTTTAGCTGAAATAAGAGCAGTGTTAGGGTAAGTTTGTAGTAAGTGGTAGAACTAGCTATGCATTTTCATCTGAAGAAGTAGACTGTGCCCACGAAAGCTCATACCACCATCTACATTTTTGTTAGTTTCTAAATGCTGCAAGACTATTCATTATTTTTTAAGTTTTATGCATTTCTGTTTTAAATTTGTAATCTGCCTGTAAATTTGCTTTGCTCTGCCTGTTTTCACTTGCAACCACTTAAGTCCTATTGCTTGTATTTAAAAGTAATTTTATTATTTACTATCAAGCCCAGTGTGTACATCCTCCTTTCAGTGTTAAAGGGTGCTTACCTGAATAATTTATTTGAGGTTCTGATTCCATTTGAGGATTGGTTTCTCTGGAAGCTGGGCCCAAAACTGCATTTTCCTTGGAACTGAAGAGTTTCAGTGCCTGTACTGTATTGTTCCTATGGGGCAGTGAGCTCCACTCTGTGCCTTGGCTGGAGGAGACAGGAGACCTGGCCCAAGGAGGACAGGATGGTGAAAAGCCTCAAAGCAAGAGAGGAGAGGCACTCTGTGAAGAACCCCTAAAGGGTCTTCTTTGACTGCACCCTCTAACATTTATTGTATATGACATTAGTGCTTATTTCATTGACTGCTTCTAAAGTAAAATCAGAATCACTTGGATTTTGGAGCACTTTAAATCAGAAGAAAACTTTAAAACAGAGAATGCAGGCAAAGAACTACTAACTTTTATTACACAGATTCTCCAAAACTACCATGAGTGGGACTTGAACTCATAGTTCATGAGGAACATTAGTGTTGCTCAGATGCAGTGTCTGCGTTATGTCACCTTGCACCATCAAGTACTGTGATTAAGATGCACTGCAAACCCTCTGCCTGTGTTGTCAGTTTAGATCAAATTGACCTGAAGGTCTATACTTATTAACTCTCAATACTGCTACCTCAAAGGCACTGAGTGCTCTGGTCTACCTGAGAGAGATCTCAATGGGTGATATCAGTTTGCAGGATGGATCAAAACCAGGTGATACAGTGCCCTTAAAATATATACATGTATAGTATCTCAGAAATTGCTTGCTCAAATGACCCTATATTTGGATCACAAACCCTTCCGTGCATCCCCATCAGAAACAGCAAATCTTAAAACTGTCAGTCAGCATATGGCCTTAAAGCACCTAATTCTTTTAAATGGTAAGCAACTCTCAACTATAGCTATTGCTCTGCTATAATGTAACTCTTGTGTAAGTTTTTTGTACTTTGGAACAAAAAGCAATGCTGTAGTTGTGGATCCCTTAAATGACTGGAATGATCTATCTGTCTGAAGACAAATGTGTTGTACTGAAAACTAATATTATCTTATTTCATGAAAAGGCAACTGTGCTAGAAGAAATGCCTCCATTTCCAGAGAGGGAATCCTCCATTCTGGCTAAGCTGAAGAAGAAGAAAGGCCCTGGCACAGTTACTGATCTAGAAGATATCAAAAAGGAGAGGAATTCTGACATGAATGGAGGCACTGAATCCACCCCTGTTAATGCCAGTACTGCGGTATGTTTCTTTGCTTATCACAAGTGGAATAATTATTTAATGCCAATTATTATGATTTTCTAGGATGGAAATGCACAGATTCTTTACATTTTGCTTGTCCAGTGGCTTGTATTGTGCATTCAGTGTTTGAGCCTGCTGCTGTTTCTATAAAGTAGCTGGAAAACCTATATTTTAATTCCAACAGTGAGGGAAATAGTGTCTACAATTTGTAGACATTGAAATCACTGCGGGGTGGAGTGGAAGGGGGCAAATTAAACAAAGACTGTGTGCTGTTGATTATCTGGGTATAGTTAAATATATTTTAACATTTTGAAAAGAAAATGTCGACATTTTCTCGTTTTTGGGATTGGAAAAACTGGGTTTGAATAATTTATTAGCACTTAGGCTAATTGTCTTAGGTAGTTCTGTGAAACATTTTAAGGCTAGGTGTTCTAATTTTCTCTAATATACATTGACTGTTTTACCTTTTTCTATTTCAGAGCATTCAGGACATTGCAGTACTTTGTACTTATCTAATGTAGATGCTGATTTAACACTTCCTTATATTGGTTTATATGAAGGCATAACTCGTGTGAAACTGGTGCATATTTTAAGTGCAAACATCATCAATTCTGGGATTTCTCTGATCCATAGCTCCTCGTGCAGTGGTCCCCAACCTTTCATGGCTGCCAGGCGCCCGGGGGCGGGGCCACTCACATTCTATGCTTCTGGGGGTGGGGCCACACATGCACTGCGCGCACGGGAGGGGAACCACCCATGCGCCCGGGGCCGGCACCGTGCATCTGCCACGGGCAGGGGCCGCCCATGCACCCTGTTCCCAGGGCCGGCACCGCACATGTGTGGCATGCTGGGGTCAGGGGCTGCCCACACGCCCTGCACAGGGGGCCGGCACCACACATGTGCTGCGTGCTGGGAGGGGGAGCGGCCCGGATGTTTCGGCAGGTGCCATGGCGCCCACGGCACCACGTTGAGGACCACTGTCCTAGTGATACTTAATTGCAAGGTGGTTTTGTGATGAAACGCTGTCTACTAACTGAGATTCATTATCGCTTGTGACTAAAAGCAAAACCAAAATCTTTAGCTATTAGGATACCTTTTTTAAGCTGCTTAACATTCCTGGACTATCATACTCTTGTAACACATTCTGTGTACATCTTTTTAAACACTTCTCCTTTCAGACATAGTGAAGAAATTGTGCTTTACTTACTGAACTCTCATAGCGAATGGTGCAACTCCACTGTCTTTCCTGTTTGAAAGTTAGTGAGTGTCTCAGATTTCCATCCCAAGATGATGATGTCCTCCATTTCTATTGAATGAATTGAGCCAACCTTATTGTATACTGTTGATGCCTCCATGCAGTGTTCCATATTGCATTGTTAGGGAGGCTTCATGGTAGGGAGAGGTTCCAAACATCTTCCTAGTCAACTAACTTCACTTTTATGCCGCTGTATTCATAGAAGAGTTCAACTTTCTTATTGTATGGAAATATAGAATGTGGGGGAGTCTTATCTTCTGAAATACTTGTTTTATTTTAGTGTTCTTTTAGTGAAAATATAAATAAGCGTCTGCTCATAACTTTCAGTGCATAATACCAAATATTGCACCGCTGAGATTTGGATGCATAGGCTGAGGTTAAATACTTCCTTGTTTTGTTATTGATTATTTGATTTTTCTTAATTCCATTTTTGTACATACTGTTGAAAGCCTTGCCTGATCTTCCACTTCAGGGCTCACTGGCTGAACTGGGTACTGGGCCCAGACCTCGCCCTTCTCGACTGAATTCTTCTCATTTAGCCAACCACAATGTGCAGACAGGAGTTCCTTGCTTGCTTAAAGGATTCTTCACTTCTGAGGTCTTTTAATTAGTTCATTTGCAGGCATGACATTTAAAACTTTTTGGCGCTTGCAGTTATTCATGACAAGGCCTGTGCTACACTGGGAAATGGTTTGGCAGTGAATTAACACATGCATGCCTATTTCAGTTTAAATATCCAGTTCTCTTAAACACTGAAAAATAGTGAACTAAGAAATTCAAACTTTTCATGAGTAATCAGAAGTTTATTAGTGTGAATTGTTTCTAAATCCTCCTATTGCTCTTTCTCATTTTCCCCGATCTCCATTATTTGACAGATGATGTTATACTGTTGTGGGTTTCCCTCATAGCTACTCTGCAAATGCAAGAAATGTCACCAAAGCACTTCTGTCCTCTTGCAGGGAAAAAATTGTGAAATAGTTTAAAGTCTTGTGGCCCTGCTGCATCTGTTAAGTAACTGTAAATTCCTCTTGACATAAGTGCAGTTGGAAGTTTCACAATTCCCAGTAAAGCAGGATCTTACTCTACTAATGGGGGAAAAAATGAGAGATCACATACCTAATACTACTTTACAATCACTTACTGCTTTAATTCCTTCAGAAAAGGAAGGAAGGAATATTTCACCTAAGACGATAAATGCTTTGCATGTGTCTTCCCTTTACTAGCATAGCATTGATATTATTTTTGTTGGTTATGTTAATTCCCTTCAAATTTTAACATTTTTTAGTATTTTAATAGAAGTAAAGTATACATAATTAGAGTAAATTACCCCTATATGTTCTCTTACTAATATCTTGCTTTTTCAGGAGACTGAGGGAAAGGTCATTAACAATATCCTTCCCTTTTTGAGGAAGGGGGAAATTACCTATGAATAGTCCAAGAAACATAAGTTTCTCAAACTTTTAATGCCAGATTCTCCATCCAGTGAAATGCCTCGTTCATCTTACTTCATTTGTGTCTAAGTGTTGTTTATGTCCTTGTTCTAGGAAATATTACGCTAGATTTTATTGCCTTTCTTAACTAATTGTAATTCAGGCCCATTCTAGTTTGACTTACTAGTTTGAGTACTTGCCTTTTGAGTGTGTGCATGATTTCAAGTGTATGAATAAAGCTATATCTATTAAAACGAAAGGGTTTTTAATAATTAGGAAAACTTCAGTTTTTTGGCATCTGCTTATCAGAATATCCCGAAATTTAGTTTACAGAATAATGTGTCAGATTGGAACACAAGTATTTTGGAATAGTCGTGTGAAGTCAGAATTTGCAAAATAGTACAGATTAACCTGTGCTACTTTTAATGCTCAAAGGTAAAGGAGGGAGAGGTCTTAACGCAGCCTAGTTCTTCATGGTATCTGGCTTAAAACTGGCTGTATGGGAAGGTAAAATCTAATTACAGGAAAACAGCATTTTGGATATGAAACATTTCCTTTCTGAGGCCATTTAGAGATCCAGGTGATTAGCCACATGTGGTAGATGTTTTGTTTGTAGGAAATACTGTTTTTAAAATCTGAGCCAGTTTCAGTTGGGGACAGAGGGACAGATGAGGCACAGTTTTGTTTGGGCTTTGGACTACTATATATGAATTAAATACAACTTGAAACCGTTCCATTTTGTCTTCTACAGTCTACACCTTCTCCATCAGCAGATCTTCTGGGCCTTGGTGCAGCTCCTGTTACCAGCTCTGCTCCTCCACCTTCATCTACTGGCAGTTTGTTGGTGGATGTATTTTCAGACTCTGCTTCCGTGGTTGCACCTCTTGCTCCAGGCTCTGAAGATAATTTTGCAAGGTAATTTTAGAATAATTTGAGTTATAAAATTGAGTTGTAAGTTGGTGGTGCCTGTATCTTCCACCTCTGTACCTTTCATAAAGGTATGGTGGAAAGCAATTGAAAACTAGCCACTCCTTAAGAACAACATAGCTTTGTCAGTCCTACTTCTATGAATAAGTTCCTTAATGTCATTTAAATATTCATGTACTGATATAATCACCCAAAGGCAAGTCTAAATTTTGTTGTTTTATGCTTAATCTCCAGATAATATTGATTACAGTAAGACTTTAAGTGCAATGATATCAGAAGATAGTTTTAGGTCTTGGTGTGAACAATAGTTTTTTTTATCAGTTTCAGTTTTAGATGCATAAGGTAAGCTGTTATTACAAGCATTTCCGTAGCAGGTTGTAGGTATTAATGTATTAGTTTGTAGACTTGAACTGTTTTACATTTTGTATTATCTATCTTAAATTGCATAGAATTTCTTTCTTACTCCTATGCCATGCAAGACTCTGGCAAGGGAGTCCTTGCATCTATATGAAAACACTATTGGCACAGGGTGGGTAGGTTATTGTTCATTTGTCTCTGAGAGCAGATCTTCTGGAAGCTGTTAAACATAGTCTGTCTTAATGCAATAGATCAGTCATAGACCTGAAGGCACATTTAATTTGGCTCTTATTTATGACCTAACTACAGTTCATGGCTTCATTGTGCAAAGTTATTCTTGCTTCTTCACAATGTCCCTTGTAATTAAAAGCACATATTACCCTACATTCCAGTGTGTGTTTTTAATTTAATCATCTTTAACTTTTTATTGTGTAGGCAGCATTTTAGGTGTAGTTCTCAATATAAATCTTTCAGGCACTGATTACAAGACTTTAAATTCTTGGTTGTTAGTTTGAATATCATGAGAAGATCTATCTTACGGCTAACTTTTTTAGTAGAGTTCTAGCGTTAAAGCAGTGCATGCACTATTAAGTAGAATATGTAACCAGAATCTCTTGTATCAATGTACACAGCTGAATACGGTTAAGACTACTGCATAATTAGAATGTTTAAAAAAATCCCACTGTCAGATCTCTGCTTTTAATACCTACTAAACAAGATTTAATACTGTTATGGGCCAAGTCTTTAAGGCTGTTGTTATAAGCAGGGCTCACTGAACAGCGGCAAGCCCCACTCGCCAGCCGTGCTGTCTGGCGATTTGCGCATGCGCAGATCGCCCGAACCTAGCTCTTCCGGGTTATAATCTACTCGCCACAGGCGAGATTGTATTATTTGTTGAGCCCTGGGTATAAGAATGTACTCGAGCACAGCTTCATAAAATTGCCAAGAGAAAGTACCAGCCCAGGCAGGTCAGTCTACTTTCCTGAAGTTTGCTATGGTTGAAAATGTTCATCCTAAAAATTTCTTGCAAAGATAGTAAATTGTATTAAAACATTTAAAGTGTCTTTCTTACATGGTAAGCATTAGCCTGTGGCAGCAAAGTTAAAGATGTTTCAGAGCTGGCATCTGCTGATCCTCTTTTCTGTCCTTTCTCTTCATTTAACATTAGGCTAGTAGTTCAGGAGTCATCTGCAAGGATGAAGCATTAATGCTTTATATGTAGACATTTGCTGCAGGAAAAATGCCTAGCATTGCCAATCCCTAACCTGTTTGTAGTCATTGCATGTGATGAAGTGGTTATCTAAGATAGTAATTGCCTCAGTATTTTTGACAGAAACCTCTGCCACTTTTCCCATAAGTAAGGTGATCTGTTACTTTAAGGGACATTCTGGACAGTCTACCAGTGTATTTACTGCTTCATAATTGTTTTAAAATGTTTTGGCAATACTTGTTCTTTCATTCAAGCAGTGTAATTTTATTCAAGTGTGAGAAAAGCACAACTGTAACTAGAAATACTACCAGTGGCAATGAGGGCCTGACATCCATATGTAGATCAATGAAAGTTAATGGGCATTTTAAAATGTGGACTTAATCCAAAAAATTGCACAATGGTGCCTGGATTTAGATCCATGGAAAGGATTTTGTTGCCTTCAGTGGTATGATTAAGTACTGAACACTTCCATTCTCATTGAAAACAGTGGGGACTGCAAGTGTTCAGTGCCTCTGGGAAAAAATCCAGTTACTTAGATGGCTAAAGTCTTTTAGGTACCTAACTCCTAGGTGCCTTAGTTAAAAAAATGGAGGCCTTCATGTGTCAGATCCCAAAGTGCTGTTCTAAGGGAGGAAATAAAGGAAATTACTAAGCTCTTTTTTTTTTTTTAAACTAACTTATAACTCTTGCCATCTCTATTGCTACATCCTTTCTTCCTTTGTGCTGCTTGAATTAGTTCTGACCTGGCTTCATCTGAGGTAGTTTCTGAGGAACCAGCTGATACTGTGCATGATGCCGATGAGCTTTTTCACAAGTAAGCAATACTAAAATCTTGCAAAGATGGGCAACTTCCAGGGCATTATCACAAAATAATCAGAAATCACAAAACCAGGGATTAAGCTACATATCAACCCACTGTTTTTCAAAATGGAAAGTTTTTTCTAGACATGCAGATAGGTCAAACACACTAGTTCATTAATCCACTAGATTTAATGCTGGATTGGAAAATCTGTTGCCTGGTTCTTATATAGCATGTCCCTATTTTCATTTTAAGCATAAACATTGTTAAATCGTTAAAATAATGATATGTTGCAAGAAATGTGTGGGCTATCATGTAAACTTAATGCAAACGAATTTATAATTTTTCTGTTGTCTGTTCTTCTATACTGTCTGCTTCAAGGCACCTTGTCCCACAATTCTCTATTCTGTCCACAAAACTTTTAATTCCCTGGCTTTGACTGCTTTGTCATCATTTTTCTTTGAGTTAAAATATAAACTCTTATTTTTCAAATGTGTCCCTTCTTCTCTAGGTTTGTATGTAAAAATAATGGAGTTTTGTTTGAAAATCAGCTGCTACAGATTGGACTGAAATCTGAATTTCGACAGAATTTAGGTAAGATCAATAATTGTATGTGATAGATCAAGGTGTTAACATGTCTGTTGTACAATCAGCAATGTTAGCACAACATTGGAAATAAAATAATTTTAACTTTTTGGTGACAGATGTTCAAAACGTCAAAAGTAGATTATATTTGAGGCCTAACCTATGTAAGCAACCCTTTTTGTGTTGATGGTGGAAAATAGTTGTTTTAGGCTGTCTACTCTAAAGCCTGTGTCAGCAAAACTTATGTCGCTTAGGTGTCTGATTATTCCGTCCTCCAAATGACATAAACTACCTAAGTGCGTGTGTGCATTCAACTTTATGTTGGTAAGAGAGCTTCTCCCTCTGACATAGCTTCTGCCTAAGGATGTTAAATATCGACTAATCGAATAGTCAGTGCGTCTTGCATTAACTATTCGATTGGTCAATAGGGTGCCTCCACCTTTGAAGTGCAGCAATAGCCCTACGGCTGTTGCTATACTTCAAAGGCGAACGTGCCCCGTGGAGCTCAGGGACAGCTGGGGACTCCCTGGCTGATTCTGAGCTCCGTGTGGCACTGCCACTTTGAAACGCTGCGGGGAGCCTGGGGACACCCCAGTTGGCCCCCAAGCTGCATGCGGCATTTCAAAGTGGCAGTGCCATGTGCAACCTGGGGTCTGGCCCCAGGCTTCAAGCAGCGCTGCTGCTTTCAAGTACCCCCTCCTCTCTGTCTGCCCTCCCCCTTGCTACTTCTTTCTCAGAGGCAGCAAGTGGGGGCAGGAGGAAGCGACTAGTCAACTATCTTGTTGATCCGATAAGCATTTGCTTAAGAATAGTCAACTAGTCCTTCACATCCCTATTTCTGCCACTTGCAGAGGTGGATGGGTTTTTTATGCTGAAAGGAGAGCTTTCTCCTGTCAGCATAGTGTCTTCCCCAAGTGCACTGCAGTGACCTCCCTGTACCTTTACAGCTGCACTGTAGCAGCCCTGGATATACAGGTATGGGCTTAGACTCTTGCTCCAAATGCAGTCATATTTACATAATGTTTATATACTATACTTGAAGATTTTATAATTAAATGTTTTTACCCATTTCTTTGCAGGTCGGATGTTTATATTTTATGGTAATAAGACTTCTACTCAGTTCTTGAATTTTACTCCAACACTAATCTGTTCAGATGAACTTAAGTCAAATATCCTTGATTTAACTGAGCCACTTGATATGCAAATAGCAGTGTATGCACTAATTACAGTATGTCAAATGCATAAATAAACAGGAATGAAGAAATATTTTGACGAATGCAATAGCTGCTAGATTCAAAGTATTATAATTTTCAATATCTGGAGGTTGTCACCTTTTAGAGTCTTGTAGGAAAAGATTAATTTAGCATAGATTAATTAATCTATGTCTCTAAAGAAAATACTACACATTGAAGAATCATGTGGCATACGTATAGGGATGTCTTCTTGTTGTGAGGTGTTACCAAATACACTTTTGACAAGATGCACAGTATTGCATAGTTACAGTTGCAGACTACTAGCTTTCAGGAGAAGGGTGCATATTAAAAACAGATATTTGATTAATTAACCACAGAGTTATTGTGTATTGCCAGCATCAGTTTAGGTCTCTCTGCTGATACTGAAGTTGAAATAGTTTTTAAGTCTTTGGTCCCTACAGAGTTAATTAGAATTTAATCAAAATATATTGCGCATTAAAAGGAAGGAGTCAAATTGGACAAATGCAAACCAGATAAGGGTTTGTAAGCTATGCAAGCTGATGTGGAGAGATTATTCTCTTCTTTTAAAAAAATATTTATTGTACTATCAAACACATCACTTTTAAACAATTAGTAAAAGTCTAGTTATGAATTTTGAATATACTTGATATTATGAAAGAAAATAAGGAAGCTTTTTTAAAAATCCATGACTATAAAGTGGTAATCACTTTGCCACATCACAACATTGCTTGGTTAGTTTGCTGAAGTGAACTAGAAAGCTACAAAATATGTAGCTAAGCCTTTGGTTACTAATTAAAGATCTTGATGCTAAAATACATTTTTTTTGGCAAGCAAGCTTTTTAAAAAATTGTTCAGAAATGGTTAGATTAACTTTTTCACTCCTTCCTTGTTTTCTTTGTGAATTGAAAATATTTGTTCTGCTCAGTCTTGCTTCCCTAAGTGGTAATTTCCACTAGGGATGTTAAATATCGGTTAATTGAATAGTCAATTAATCTCATGAATTCTTATCAGTTGCTCAACTATTCTATATACCCAGGAGCAGGGCCAGCAGCCAGTGCACTCAGCCCCACTCCCCAGGAGCTCCCTACCACTCCACACTGCTGCCTGCCTGCTTGGCTTCTAATACACTTTAAATGCAGTACTGCAGAGGTGGTAGGTCCTAGGTCCAGCATGAGCCAGGATTGAGCTGAGCTGCTGACCAGCTTGCTAAAAAATTTATTGGCAGCGAGAAGGAAAATGCTTGTAGTCTGTAGCATTAACCTAAAAGCTTTTGCTAATCAGTTAATCAACTATACTGTTACATCCCTAACTTTCACTGAGACTTGCAATTTGTGTGGGGATGGGAGAGGAGCTTGGCCCCAAACCTGTCAGACCGAGCCAAATGTTCAGTGAAATTATTTTTCTAAATACTTCATGAGTTATTCAAGACCCAATACAAGGAAAGATTGATAAGAAAGAAGTGAATAACCATACTGCTTCAGACATGGAAAGGACATGGTTAACACTTTTATGAACTTGGATCTTGTATTAGAAAGATCATGTGAAATGGGGATCAAAATATTGTGGTTTGTTAATGATATTCAAAAAGCATCTGTGAGCATCTGTCTGAGTCCCTCTGTCTCAGAGTCCATTTGTTCAAAAACTCTTCCTAAACCATAAGAGCTAGGGCCACCAAATTTGATGTGCAGCTTCCTCATAACCAAAGCCTGACCTTGATTTTAATTAGGATGTGCATAGAAAATGGGAAGTGCCGGGAATATGACTCCTTTCCATGTTATGGGGGGCAGAAAGGGGAGGAATGCGAAAGGGAGGGGCACAGAGAGGAGGGATGCAATACTGAGTGACCACTGGGGACAGCTGCAGTGCAAAGTGGAGTGGCTAGCATGGCTGGGACTTCACTATCTTGTCTGCCATCAGACCAGATGAGTAGCCCCTCTGCCCCAAACCTGAAGCCCTCCCCCACACACTCTGTGGAGAGGCTGCAGGGGGAGGGGCCGCTGCAAGGGATGACCACCAAAGCCTCACTTGTGCCCCCTGCTCTCCCACAATCTGCAGGCTGCAGTTGGGAGCCATTGGAGGAGGGGGCAGCCCCTGAGTTTCTCCTCCCCCCTGACAGCCTGCAGGCTGCAGAGGGGCTGTTAGACACAAAGCCTGGCCTTCCTCCTGACAGCCTGCAGGCTTTGAGGGGAGGGACCTAAATGCTCGGGGCAGCCCACATAGCCTGTCCAGCCCTTTGGAGTGCCCCCCCAAACAGGATGTAGGGAGCTGCTGGAGGCTGGGAGTAGCACTGGAAGCCCCCCCCTCTGTAGCAGCTGTAGGCCAGGGGCAGGAGCAGACTGCAGGCTATCCCCTTAATTCCCAACAGGCTGAAGTCTGGAGAGGGGCATCTGGAGGCTGGGGAGGGCCTGCAGAGCCCCAGCCTCCACCTGACAAGTGCACAGACATGGATCCTCCCTCCTGGGAGATCCAGATGGGGAGCACATCCCTAGCCCCTCAGGAGGAGCCACTGCCACTAGAGCAGTGTCACTCTCGCTGCCCCAATAAGCCTCCCTCACGTCCCAGCCCCCTACACTGAGTCCTGCACCTCCCACTTGACTTGACTACTACACACCTATCTCCTTCCCTCTGAGCCCCCGCACCTGTTTCTCCCTGCCCTAAACCACCCACCTCTGCCTCTTTACCCCTGAACCCTCACTTCAGCCTTCATTTTTCTTGAATTTTTTAAATTCAACCATTGAAATAAAGCACGTACATTTTTCATTTATTTAAAAGAAATTACTTCAGGTAAAGCCCTGAGCAATGCTAGATACATCTGCTAGTTAATATATTAAGATTTATAGGATTGATGGATACAAAATGTGAGTAATATTGCATATTCCTAGCAGCTTAGAATTACTAGCTATAGCACAAGACTTGTTTGGACATCTTATGTTTGCATGCATTTTATGGAGTGTTTAATATTCATTAAGGGTTACTGGCAGAAGTAGTGTGTATCATATTATCATTAAGCTGTATATTGGTACGGTGATTGAGAAATTATCCGTGTACCATCTAACTCAGGGCTACTCAATGCATGGCCCATAGGACACATGCTGTCTGCAGCCTGTTTGTTTTCAGCCTAGGGTTTGCATGGGTCTCAACAAGCGGCCCACGGGGGGGAGCGAAGACAAAAAAGTAGTCCGTATAATGGTCTTCTGTTGATGTGTCTTAGTAGTTAAATTCCTGGGCTGTTGTTGCTCATTGTAAGTGTTGTCATATGGGTGGCAATCAGGTAGATACTGCATTTTATTAATATCAGCAAAAGTGACTTAATTGGGCCTGTGTGTTGTGTAGTCTTGCCTTAATCTTTGTATTCATGCCTGATAGTGTGAAAAGCTATTTGCATATATATTTGCATGTGTATGTAACCACACTTAAGTTGCAGCCCTCAGCATGTGCTGTGAATATCATTGTGGCCTTCGGGGCTTCCAAAGTTGAGTAGCCCTGATCTAACTGGTATTGTGGTGTTTCATAGGGCCATTTAATTTACTGGTAAGTTATTTTTCCCCCAAAGGACAGTTTAGCCATATGAAGATGTAAATCTATATTTAAATCTAAAGATAATGATTAAAAGCAGTCCATTTTTTCTGTGAATTGGTTTCCTTAACAATTTTTCACGCCTGAACCTGCAAACAAAACCAGTGGACCCCACAGTGGAAGGTGGTGCTCAGGTGCAGCAAGTTGTCAATATTGAGTGCATATCAGACTTTATGGAAGCGCCGATCCTAAACATTCAATTCAGGTAATTTTAATGGAATTTTTTTGGTCTTGGCATAGACTTCTGAATCTGAAAATGAACTGGAAGCACAGAAGAATTAAAACACATTCTGGAGAGAAGATTTGCTTGAGGGCTTGTTCTAAGAAGTTGCTGAAGGCCTTCAATTCAGGCTTTGTCTTCATTTCTAAGTACAGAAAGCATAACTTTAAAGTGTAACTGTGGCCATGGCAGGAGTGCTTGGAGAGAGCCATCTACATGAGGAGTAGCTAGCAACAATAGGAGCCCATTTATGTTGACACTTTGCAGCACTGTAAATTGCTATGCTTTGGATAGTGAGTGTGTTTTCACACCCCTGAGCCAGAAAGTTGCAGTGCAATAAAGTGACAGTGTCGACTTAGCCTAGGGAGGTGATACTTCCTTATTGGCTCATCAGCTGTTGGTGAAAGACAAGCTTTTGAGCTACACAAAGCTCTTTTTCGGGCCTGGAAAAGGCATTCAGTGTCACAGCTAAATACCAGGTGTAACAGTGTTTTAGCATAGAGTTAACATTTCCTTGGACCATTCAATGTGAAGTGGTTGGGTAACACACCAGAGTTAGACTGTTGTCATAAGCCATGAATCCAGCATCATTAGTAGGAGTATGATTTTTAGTGTGTGGCGGGGTTAAGAAATTAAGCTCCCATGCTCATCTTTTGAATATGTTGCACAGGTTTCCTCTGAAAACAAGGACTGAGGGGTTAGATATGAAAGGATCATTTTGTGAGAAGTTTGCCCACAGATGATATGTCTGTCCTTTATCATTTTTTGAGAGAATCCATTCAAGAGCATAGAGTTAGTCTATCTGGTTTCAGCCTTCTAGTTGCTATTGGAGCACTACATGCGCTGGTGAGCTATAGCAAATATGATAAGCTTGTGTAAGACCTATTGATTTTGAAAGGTGCGTTGGGGTGGGGAGTATTGATCTTGATAGCAGTGGAGATATGTCTACAGGTTTTGCAACTGTTATGGCAGGACATGGAGCCAGTCTGAGTTTATGGGACAACCTTGTAGGTAACTTCTAACTGATCATGTCTAACTTATCTTTCCATTTTATTCAGTAAGTTTGAACTTTAGATTGAAATCTTCCTTTCTGTATTTAATAGCATACATGAAAGATATAGATTAACGTGTCCAGAAATATGTCCATAATACAATGTAATTTTTTAAATTGGTTTTCTACCATGCTTACAGTAATTCATCATTTAATACTATAGATATGTTTCTGAAAATGATCGTGTTAAGTGAAAACGTGTTATGCTGGGTCAGTTTTCCCATTGAAAATAATGGAAAAGGTGGGGGTTGCATTTCAAGCAATGGTGTCTGTGGGGACCGGGACATAAGTTTGAGGGAGAAAAGGGACTGGGTTACAACAAGAAGGGGGAAGGCAAGAGGAAGAGGGGGGAGAGGGATTGGGTTGGGAGTATGCCCCTGTGACAGGTCTGCCAGGACCTGCACTGCGTCCGGCAAAGGGGAGTCACCGGGGAATGGCGCGGCAAGCAGCGAACCGTCCGCTGTTTTGCAGGGAGGTGAGGGAAGCCCCATGCAGCTGCTGGCGACGGGCTGGCTGGGGAAACCCAGCCCTCCGCCTGCAAGTGCGGGCAGAGGAGAGGGGGGGCAAGGCGTCTGGCGAGGGGGAGTCAGTGGGGAATGGCATGGCAAGCGGTGAACCCTCTGCTGCTTTGCAGGGGGGGGGGGCCGGCTGGGGAAATCGTGTTATTCCGGGGATGGTCGTGTAATTACAAAAATATTCCCTTAAAAAAAAAAAAACGTGCTATTGCAAAAACGTGTTAAGCAGGCATGTGTTAAATGAGGAATTACTGTACAACCAATACATGTGCTCCCAGGATAGTCTAATAACAAATCTAAAAGTAAAACTTTTAGTATAAGCTGCGTGAAATGCAAAACACATGCCCCATGGAGCTGCTCCAGCCCCCACCGGTAACTGGAACTAGTATCCATTATCTGTTAAGGGTGAGGCTTACTAGTTGACCATTCACATCCTTAGCAGACAGCTTCCTATATTTGCCCACACTTCTGCCACAGACAAACTGTCATCTCTTCTGGGTATAAGACACCCCCCCAGCTGAGAATATTTTGAAGAAATTCGTTCTCTGGGTTAAAAAAGGAAAACTTGTCAGTATATGCAGTGTAAGATGATGGAGGGCCTAGTTGCAAGAACGAAACATGATGAGTGAGCTAGTTGTAGAAGTTTTAAAGACACTTTCATGACTTGTATGTTAGAGGTAAAAAAAATTGCCATCAGGAGACAGCTGCAATTGCAAATATGAAAAATGTAATATTTAGTTTAATAAAATATAAGTGCTATTGTGTTTGTGTGACACTTTTAGTTCTGACCATTTCTAATGTATTGAGATTATAAACTCCTTTTTGGAGAGGCAGTATGTGGGAGACAGCTTGACACAGATCTTGATTTTATTAATTTAGGAAATAGCATTTAATTTTCGTTATCTAAATAATTACGGAAAGTATGCCCTCTGAGATGGTGTAAAATGCTGTAGTGTGTTATAAATTAACATGTTTTAGTGATCAGATTTGCACCATTGTTTAAGAAATATGTGAAGAGTATCAATGAAAAACTTGATTTAAATCATTATTTAAATCACTTTGGTTTAAATCAATCCACCCTGGTAGTATTTAAGGAGAATGTTAAAGATGCCTCAAAAAGAAATGTAACTTGGTAACAATGTTTAGGTGGCGCATTGTCCAGATGAGCAATAGACTTTGTTCTGACATGCCTACTTAATTTCAGCATTGATATCATCAGCCTTACACAGGAGAGATGCTAGCTTTGCATTAATTTTATCTAAATAGTGATATTTTGCATTGGTTAATTTATTTCCATAGAAATAAATGTGACCGCCCTCGTGTGGTTACAGTGAGATTGTACCTTGTGAAATGTTTGTATGCATGTTTCTACTAGAGTGTAAACCTGATACATAGTGGTTATTTTCCTACAGGTTTTCTGTTGTTCTAGTCATTCTGTTGCTGTGGATGAAAATTAACATTTGTACATGTAGGAAGCCACAGTTTTAAAATAAGCAGTAATAGAAACTACTAATTGTTTGCAGTTTTTACAGTTAGCCTTAATACAGGGAGACTGTAGTTGGGAGTTATTTCTCATTGTTTATTTGGCTAGCATTATCTAAAATGTCAGCACTTTAAATGTAAATTTATATTCAGCTGAGATTCATTACATTTTTACTAAGGTGCTGATGCGTTTAACTATTTCTGCCTTTACAAGCATCTAAAAATGAGTTATTTGTAAATTTCTCTTCTCATGAGTATGAATACTTACCTTTTCTCCCCTACACTGCCCCTCCAAAAGGGAGTTTATAATCAATAGTCTGAGTGTTAAGATTATATTTACTTCCAATTCTTTGTGAAATAGTGAATGGCCCCTTGATATGGCAGTATAATTATGTTGTCTGAAGTGGCTCGTGATTGAGAATGCCGACCTCTGGGCAGACTGTTGAAAGTAGGACAGATACTCCAAATTGGTGGTATATTCTATAATTAGATTGCACCAATTTAGTAACAAATGTTAACTCCTAGATTACTGTTGCATTCTTACAATAAAGTCAGACAGTCTTACAATAAAGACTCTCCAGTCTCTTGCCACCCAGGCAAGCAGAACTTAGTGATAAATAGTCATTTACACCAAAAATCACAAAATATTCTAGTAGCTTCCAGTCCCAATAGACCAGTTACTTACCTCTCGTCAACTTTTACCTACAGTTTAAAACAAGCCACCACATACACACACGAATTAGTTTGTCTGATTCAAAAGGGGGCAGATGTATTAATCTGGCAGCATTTAATGTCGTTTTAGATCTTAATCCAGGATGATCCGGGGGACCTTATGAAAATCTTCATGTCATCTGTTTTTATTTTCCTCTTTCTGTATTCAAACTGGCCTGCACATACTTGTCATGAGTGGATGAGGCAATTAACAAAGCTTTTGTTTAATTTTTGATAGACCTTCTAGTTAGGCAATGGGAGTCATTCACATCCGAATTCACACATTCCCAGCATGAATTTTTATTATTGTAAAATGTTTTACTTTTTACTTTGCAGTATGGAATAAAGACATTACAAGTGAGATTACTGCATAAAGCATCTTTCAGTCCTTTCACAGAATTTGTATACTACTTACAGTTTTGTTCAAAACAGGCTAACATATAGGTGAACTTTTTTGGTTTCCAACTATGAGTTTCAGTTCTTAGCTTATACCTACCTGTAGTTGTGGCCACATTTAGCACTTTGTTTACCAGCATCACAATAATGTGTTTCAGTCTTTCACTTTAAGAGAAAAGTGGTTCTGAAATATAGTCTGTAATTAATCACATCTTGTACCACATTTTCTCTTTGTTCTTCATGCAGATATGGGGGAACATTTCAAAATATTTCAGTAAAACTACCAATCACACTGAACAAATTTTTCCAACCTACAGAGATGGCCTCTCAAGACTTCTTTCAGCGTTGGAAACAACTGAGCAAGTAAGAGTTGAACTAATATTATACATTTCTCAGGATTACATCAGTATGAAACATAAGAGTGCTAATAGTTGTAGAAGTTTAGACACCATACATTTAATGATCTGAGGACAATATCTAGCTTAGTCTTGCTTCACTTTCGATTTTGTGGCTTCAGTATAAGTAAATACTACTCTTGAATTTCGGAATTCTACCAGCCATACTGTTATGTTTTATTGCGTGATGTTGACTTATGTGTTTCTCTCAGTCCTCAGCAAGAAATGCAGAATATCTTTAAAGCAAAGCATCCAATGGATACAGAGATTACAAAGGCAAAGGTAGGTAACAGCATGTTTTAACAGATGAATTTCAGATTTGGAACAGAGGCATTAACAAATGTAGTAATTCTATTGATGCTGACATTTTATTTTGTCCCTGTTTATTCCTACCCTCCCCTGTTTGGGGCATTTGGGTTATAGTGTTTAGGCATGAATTAGTGAGGCAATTGCACTTAACAGCATGGAAATATCTGGAGAATTTATATAGGTTTTAATCCATAATCGTTTATTTCTAAAAATTCTAGGGCTTGTGAAGAACCTTGAACTGATTTATACTGAAATGTGAACTTTATTTCTAAAATTTGAGGGAACTTCAAATCCTACTTTCTACTACAGCTATTAAAAATAGATTTTTTAAAATTGTTTTTCATGTAATTGTTCCCTTTGTTTCAGAATGTTTTGACTAAGTCTAATTGGTGAAAACTTTTCTCTGTTGACATTATGAAATTTGAAAACCTCCAATCCACGACTCCTTTGTAGCATTCAAACCCTTTTTTTATTTCTCAAGTGTTTGCTGTGATATTTGGGTACTTCATGAAATCATATTAGCATGATTAAATATTCCAGTGAAAACTTTATTGCATGCCCTGTAGCAACTGAAGTTTTGTGACTAATACTCAGCTAGGGTGACTATTATCTGTTATCTTGACACGCCTCCCATAATAAAAGGCTAAGGCAGTTTTGGGCAATTCTTGTTTAGTGCCCATTCACAGTACATCCATTTTTATAAAGTTTGAAAGGACAACATAACTGGCTATATTGCTTTTTATCCTTTCCAGACTGAGATTTCTTGTATTAGTTGACGTTCCTTGTTTGAATTCCCTTACTTAATAAAAGCAAGCAAATGTGTGAATGTACAATATTAATTTGCTATTCAATTATCATACCTGCTTGCTCAAAAAGAGACAATATTAGGCTTATCATGCTTCCAAATAAATAGGACTGAAGTATAATTCCAGATGTAGAGTCTTCTCTTTAAACTCTAGAAAGTTATAATTCTGATAATCATGTTTATTGCACTACTGCTTAGGGTCAAGCAAGATCAGGACCCCCACTTTCCTGGGCATTGTACAAAGGATAGCTGACAGTTCCTGCCCTGAAGATCTTAAATTAAACAAAGAAGCCAAAGGGTAGGGGAAAGGGATAGAGCATACAAGCAGAGTGGTCAGTATGACAGGGCAAGTATAATGTTCTCTTGAGTCTTTTATTAACTAAATTCCATTAAGAGGTGATTTCAAATGAACAGTCTGTGGAAGGGGGGAAGGATTAGGGAAATGGAGCAGGTGAGGAGAGAAAAAGGTATGAGGGACATGTGTGGAGAAAAGACTTAAATATCTGACTCCAGAGGACTTGGTATTCTATTATGTCCTTCTCCTATTTATAAGTGTTGTTACTACTTTAACTGGTTGGCATGCCAAACAAGTTTATTTTATAAGCTCAGGCAGTGGTATAGAGATAATGTTAAGATGTCAGAATTCTTATGCTATTGCTGCTTTAACTTATTTTCAGAGTTAAAACATTCTTTGTCCATTTAACTAAATTAGTTACCTGGTGACCACGGTCAGGTAAATTGCTGATTCATGAGCATTCTTGGACACTTTGTATTTTTGGCTTCCTGTCTCTGCAGTGTCTCTAAACATAGTCTCTTTTGGGGTTTTCTTTGACAGATCATTGGATTTGGCTCTGCACTCCTTGAAGAGGTAGATCCCAACCCTGCAAATTTTGTTGGTGCTGGTATAATACACACAAAAACCACCCAGATTGGATGTTTACTACGTCTTGAACCAAACCTTCAGGCACAGGTACTTGCTTTTTGTATCTGCACGTTAAATATAAGTTCTGGTTTACAGAAACTGAATACAGCTTACCTTACCAGTGCATCTGACTACACATAGCTTACCTTTAGTAATAACTTACAATAGAAGTAGTTATGTGATCTCAGACTCAATTGTCAATGTCAGTAAACATAGGTTAAAAACTGAAGCAGCTGGTTCTGGCTTTGGGTTTCAGCAGGCTACTTTCCAGTGGCATCTGCTGTTTTGCTTGCATGCTCACATGTGTTACTCTGATTTTTATCCTGTCATCAAACTAACTCCCTTAATATGCAAAGGACACTTAATTAATCTCAATAGTTTTTTGTACTTGTTTGAGAGCCTCTTGAAAGTTAAAAGTTTCTTACTACATTTTCCCTTCATCTTAAAAAAAATGAATTTTTTTTGCCCCCTCTGTTTCTAAATGAATAAAATATATATCTCTGCTTCACTCTTTGTGAAGCAGCAGAAGAAGAATGCAACTCTGTAGAAATAGTGTTTGCTACTGTTGTAAAGTCAAAGGGACCACATGTGACAGCTGTGTTTTTATATTTCCTGGTGATATATGGGGGAAGGAGGGGATTGAAGAAAATCTGTTTTTTGGGAGGTTGTTGATTTTCAGAGGTAATGAAATGTATTGCCTTGAGAATCCATGTTTTGATTACAAATCTCTGCTTCCCGAGTTGGAGGTTAGTGAGAATACCTTGAGGAGATCAAAAGCAATTCCTCCTCTTTCTGCTACTGAGTTACGGGCTTTCAAGAATTCTTTGTTTGTCAACACCAAAGTATGGTAACAGATTTGAAATTTCGTGATAGGTAATAAAAAATTATGTATTTTTAGAGTTAGATCTGGGGAAAGCCTGGGGAAAGCCTGGTGGGAGAGGTATGTTAAACACTTTCAGAGCTCAAAGGACCTTTCCTAGCAGATGTTAAATATTGTTTGTCTGAATGTCAATGTCTCACATGAAAGTTACTAGCCACTGCTCAGAACATGACCCAGTGGCATCTGTACTTTGGCTTTAAGTGCTTTTGTTACTTAATCTGATAAGTCAGTCTTAATGCAGATATGTTTTACTGTTGCCTTTATAATACATAGATTTTTTTATGTGCTCTTTTTCAGATGTATAGACTCACACTACGAACAAGTAAAGAAACCGTATCTCAGAGATTATGTGAACTGCTCTCAGAACAGTTTTAATAGTAGCAAGATCAGTCCAGTTTCTCCATTTCTGCCATAGTTGTCCTCATCCTACTGCAAATAATGTCTTGTACGTCAGTGTCTAAGTACTGCAACATTACCCACCATCAACTCCCTGCCTTAAGTCTTGTCCCTTTCATATGAAATTAAGGATATAAAATGTACGGTATAAAAGGACTTCTAGATCTAAAAAAAATCATGTATTTTTAGCTTATGCCATAGAAAGGATGTGGGAGGTGCCTGAGCTCAATTTTTTTTGAAGAAGTTGGGCTTTTAAAATGTTAACAAAAGGGAAATGGATTATTTTCATTGAAATGCCACTGTATATTGCTGATAGCATGGTGCTTTAGTGCCTTTACTAAATGCACCTTTCTGCTTTGCGCTAAAAGAAACCAAATGTAAAGTTGAGTAAATTTAATACATATGTTAGCTTAAGATCAGATTAAGCAATCTACAAGAAATTGATATGACGCTTCTGTTCTGGATTAAGATCTCCAGAGTGATGTGACTAGTTGACTGAACTTATGAGTGGAGTTTCTTAAAGCTATTGGAACCAAGGTTATGATGGGTAGAGAGGACAGATTCCGAGGTATGTTTTTTTTAAATCTTGTTGTTCAGTCAGAACACTGCCATATCACACAGTAGAATATATTGCTTAGTCAATGTAGTATAAATATTCAGTTGACTTCTACTGCACATGTACATTTTTATAAGAGGAGGGGGATGGAAGAAGTTGAAAATGAATTGAATGTGAAATGTGTTCGAGTCAATATTAGGTTATTCATCTATACCATCTATTTTTTTCACGTTGAGAAAAGCACTACCTTTGTGTTCCTGTTCAGAGTCAAATGGAGCAACCGAGGATAGAAAGGTTGTCCATTTATTTCTATGTTCCCTGTCATATTGTTCCTTTGTAACATTGATGGCATAGTTAACACTGCATTAGTCACGGAGAGCAGGTTATGATCATGCGATACCACAACAAAAGAGAGAGCTTAGGGAGAAGTCATCCTATCTGATCTGCAAGTGCATCTGAATTTTAGGAAATGGAAGCACAAGATCTATTTTTAAACAATATTTACTCAGATAACATTTGTTTGCTTGGCGCTGAACAATTAATATCTATATAGTTCCTTCTCTGCAGTGCAGAGAAGCATAGTAGTGGTGAGATGAATCTCCTACAGTCGGTTAGGCATGTCTGTTGGTTTCTTTTGAGGTTGGGAGTAGAAAGGCTACAATCAGCTTTTACAGTGGCTTTCCCAACTGTATGTATTGCTCATTGTTCTACCACAGCAAAGATTTGCATCTTCTCTGAAGAAATCAATTAAGGCATAGTTATCCTGTTTATATCCTTCAGACTTAAGTTATTGAAGCAGATTGGGCTCTGCAGTTTAATTGGCAGCTATCAATAGTAGGAAAGTATGGGACTGATTTTAATGCGAAGGAGCATGTCTATCACCACTGGAGTCACAAGTTACAAGCATCCCCACACACTCAAGCCCTGTAAAATTAATCTTTAAGTCAACATATCACTGTCTTTCGGTGTATACGTTTGTAACCAAGCACCCCATACCATGATGGCTTGAGATGCAGTACTTATCAGATGTTGGAAACGCATATGAAATGAGGCTTCTGTTATCATGCAGCACAGTGTACTTGTGATAAATTGCGTTCTGCATGACTGAACATGCTTGTGACTTCTTACTCAGGCAGTGGAACTGGAAAGGAATGAACTTGGTTTAATCAAGGGCCAATGATATATTTTGAATGCAAGTTAAAAATGAAAGACACAATCCTCCAAAAGCAACTCGAGATTGTGGATGCCACAATTTACGGGAGCCCAAGTTGAGACTGCTTACCAGGGCCAATTTTTCTGGCAGTGTTGAGTACCTTTGCCGAAAATTAGCCCCTTTAGGGTGTCTCCGGTTGGGCACCAAAAAAAACCTTTAATCACTTCTCGTACAAGCAACTTTGTCTAGGTAAACAAGCACACTATGCTAAACTATTTTCTGAATGTCAGTTAAAAATAAAGGACAGTAATTAAGACCAATGAAGTCCCAAATGACCCTTTGTTGAGGGGTGGTGGTCCCAAGAAAGTCCTTTTAATGGGCACATTTTAGTACCCTTGGAACCCTATGCTGTTGTTTGCTCTATTATAAAATTTTGAGATATTAAACCATGCTATGTTAAAGTTAGTGCTGCAGCAGATGCAAGGAAAGAGCTGCTATTTCATTCTTCCAAAACCTATTGTACATCTTTCCCTCTTGAAATACAGATCCTATACTTTCATTAAAGGACACCCTGGGACACTGTTGTTGTTGTGTACTGTTTTAGTTCACTTTGCTTTGGTTCAAGTTGTGGTGAATTCTGTATTAAATGTAGGAAAGAGAAGGATTTATACATATCTTAGAATGCTGGATGTATAAAAAAAATCAAGCTTTATTCAAATGTCCACAATGTGATGGATGAGATGGATCAAGAGTCATACTAGCAGTGTTGTGAACAAAACTAAAGACAAATGTTTCTTTGTGGAATGATGGCTGGACATACCAAAGTGACTGTGTCCTCTCCCAAGCAGTTTATGCAGTGAAAACAGTATTATTGTTCAGAGTACAGTATTAGGCATTGACATATGAAAGTAACTGAACAGCTAGACAGAGTATTGTGCACTTTTTGATCTACACTCCAGTGTGTAACACGGTGATCATGACATTTGTATAAATCAAAAGAAAATTCTGATGACTTGAAGGATTTTCTTTATTATGACTATATAGACTATTAAAAAAATGCATCAAAAGAATTATCTTGAAATGAAAAATAAATGGTTAGAACAGTAACCATATACATTTATCCTGTCGTCCGTATTACTTTCCTGTTTTACAGGGGAAGGGGGAAATGTTAAAAGGTATTTGGATGTAGTACATCAGTTTATTTTAAAAAAACTGCATTGTACTCTGTCTGCAAAACAAAGGCCTTCTGCTCCTACATATAATGTGGGAAATAATTATATAAATATTATATATATATTTTGAAAAGTGACTTAGGGTTAGACTTAGTGGTAGTAACTTGGGGTTCTATAATAATCTCTTAGAATCCTTTACTTGAAGCCAGACTTGAGGTCTGCTTCTGAATTTCACATGGTCACCAGTTATTACAAATTACTTCATTTGAAACTCTGTATAGGAATTGGAGGAGAGGATCATAAATCAAAATGATCTGGACAAACTGGAGAAATGGTCTCAGGTTAATAGGATGAAGTTTAATAAAGACAAATCCAAAGTACTCCACTTAGAAAGGTACAATCAGTTTCATGCATACAGAATGGGAAGTGACTGTCTAGGAAGGAGTACTGCAGAAAGGGATCTAAGGGTCAGAGTAGACCACAAGCTAAATAAGTCAGACACTTGCCAAAAAAAAAAAACCTCCTCCACATGATTCTGGGATGTATTAATAAGAGTGTGGTATGCAAGACATGAGAAGTGATTCTTCTGCTCTACTCTGCGCTGATTAGGCCTCAGTTGGAGTATTGTGTCCAGTTCTGGGCACCACGTTAAAAGAGATGTGAAGAAATTACCACAGGTCCAGAGAAGAGCAACAGAAATTATTAAAGGTCTAGAGAACGTGAACAATCAGAGAAGACTGAAAGAATTGGGCTTGTTCAGTTTAGAAAAAGAATTCTGAGGGGGGACATAAGTTTTCAGGTATCTAAGAGGGTGTTACAATACAAAAAGGAGGGAAAAAATTGTTCTCCTTGGCCTCTGATGATAGGACAAGAAGCAATGGGCTTAAATTGCAGCAAGGGAGGTTTAAGTTGGACATTAGGAAAAATTTCCTAACTGTCAGGGTGGTTAAACACTGGAATAAATTGCCTAGGGAGATTTTGGAATCTTCATCATTGAAGATATTTAAGAGCAGGTAAGATAGATGTCTAATAGGGGTGATATAATATATATGGTGCTTGGTCCTGCCGTGAGGGCAGGGGACTGGACTTGATGAAGGGAGGTCCCTTCCAGTTCTAGTATTGCATGAGCTCTAAGACAATCGAGCTCACTCTCCCGTGATAGGTCTTCAGTGCCAATACGCTACAGGAATAAAGTAATGAAAATATCTCCAAGTAAGCTGATGGAATGCTGAATACACACAAGGGCCAGTCTAAAGTAGTCATTTTTTTGATCCCATCACCACTTCATTTACCTATGTCAAAACTCTTTCACTGTGGTGCAGATTTTCATACTAAGTTTTTTTGCATTATTCTCATCAGTTATGATTTGCCAAGTAAATTGTGCAGAGTTATAAAAAGTTGCACTCCTTTTACACACTGTCACTTACGTGACATTGCAGGTAATTGATTTCGAAGGTCTGTGTTTTTAAGAATTGTTGAGTAGCCTGACCCTAAATCTAATGGAAGCTCCAGATGCTCATCAATTCTAAAAATCAGGCTGTTAATTCAGGTGCTCCCATTCTCTAAAATATTTTGTTCTGTTTACAGTTACCCATAGTAAGTAATAAGGATATGAATGGTTAACTGATAAGTATCATCCTTATTGGGTGATGCTTTCCAGTTATGGTTAACCACTGGAGGCTGCTTCATCCCGACAGGGCCTGTTACAGGCACGGTGCTGCTTCAATGCCACCAGAGCTGCCCCTGTCTGTGGTGGGCCCAGCCCGATGGGAGCAGCACACTGTGGACCCAGCTGGAGTAGCCCCCCACACATGGGTGGGAAGGAGCACCCCCCCTGCCCTTCTTTATGTGGTTGTCTGATAAAACAGAACTTTAAACTGATTAAACAGGATTTTACACTCAAACCAGTGAGATGTTCTGTCACTTTGGCCTTTTGACTGTACAACTATGGGTTACATTCTTGACACCAGTAGCCAAACCACAAGCACAAGTTCTCAGTCTGGCTCTCACCAACGCAGATCCCCGAGCAGTGTGACCTCGTGCCCCTGCAAGTTTTGATTAATCTGAGCCCAAAGGAAGTCTCTCCTTCTTTTACCTACCCACTCCCTCCCATCTTCAGTACTAATATTCCAGCCTGGGTCCTTTAAGACAACAGACCTATATGGATCTCATGTGGAAAGGGATGATAGATTTATGGGGGTCTCCTATCCTGCATATATGCCTTTTGAGGATACCGTGGTTGAATGCCAGCCTATTCATTCCGGTTACATCTACACTTCATAGCTATTAGTTATCCTTCGTCTACACAAGCTGCCCGTTATTTTGAAATATTTTTCAAAATAATGGTCGTGCTATTTCACCATCCCAGTAAACCTCGTTGCACAAGAAGTAAGGGATGGCTTGAAATAGCGTGTTATTTCGAAATGTGGTGCTCTGTAGACATGCCACATTTCAAAATAAGCCGTTTTGAAATAGGTTCGAAATAAAATACGCAATTTGCATAGTGCAAATTGCGTATCTTACTTTGAGGGTAGGGTGCTGTGTTGACACATCCTTAGACACAAGTGGGGCTCGGAACAGGCGAAGATACAGTCACTCCTCCCCCCGACTCAGGAATGTGAGCATAGATACAAGCCAAATGAAAATCTATTCAGTGGAGGAAATCAGCCATCTGAATCAGGCTCAAATATTTAAATAAAATGAACTTTTCCACTTAAAATGCTGTTACAGAGCAGTTCTGTTGCTACCCTAAATAAGCTGTAGTTAATTGTCTCTCTTCCCCCTTTCCTGAGAAGGTATGATGTGCATGGCTACAAATTCCTATGCCTAAATTATGAAAACTACTGGGCTTATGTCCTCGGATGCTGCTGTGGCATGACCTTCTCCCAGCTACGTTCTGGAGCAATAGAATTTTCAACTTCTGACCTCAAAATGTGTACAAAGAAGAGAATGTTCTTGGACTTGGCTATGAATCTGGAACAAACCATTCTCCACAGAGAGCCCCTGAATCTCAGTATAATCAAACCCAAACATTAAACTCCCATCAAACTCTTTTTAATTGTACGGAAATAATACAACACTAGCCTCCCCTGCCTGTAGAGGGTGAGAGTGTGTGTGAAAGCACAAAAGATACTAGTAGCGGGAATAAAAGATACATCAGTAAGAGTATGTCTAGAGTGCCCTCTAAAATCGAAATAAGATATGCAATTTGCTATTTTATTTTGAAATTTGTTGCATCTACATGGTGCCAAATTTTGAAATAAAGCACTATTTCAAAACATTCCTTACTCCAGTGGTCCTCAATGCAGTGCCCGTGGGTGCCGTGGCGCCCGCCGGGGCATTTATGTGCGCCCGCCAAGTGCTCGGGGCCAGTCCTGCTCTGGGCACGCGGTGCTGGTCCCGAGTGCATAGGTGGCCCCGCCCCTGGGTACGCAGCGAATGGGCAGGCCCGGGTGCATGGGGAGCACCGGCCCTAGGTCTGTGGCAAATGGGTGGCCCCACCCCCGGGTACGCAGTGCATGGGGAGCGCTGGCCCTGGGTGCGTGGCTATGGGGGGTGCACTAGCCCCGGGCATGCAGTGAATTGGCAGCCCTGCCCCCGGACGCGCAGCACATGGGGTCGCTGGCCCTAGGTCTGTGGCGCATGCATGGCCCCGGCCCTGGGCGCGCAGCACATTAGTGGCCCCACCCCCAGGCACCCGGCAGCTCCAGAAGGTTGGGGACCACTGCCTTATTCCTTGTGCAACTAGGTTTACAGGGATGTCAAAATAGCCTTGCAGCCTAGACGTACCTTAAAAGGACATGTGCTTGTTGCTGTGGCAAATGCCTCCTCTTCTGAGAAACGTGGCTGCTAACCCTTTAAGAGTTGTTGGAGCCTGAATAGGATGGGCAGAGTAACCGAGATCCTGAAGTTAGCAGGTCTGGAGTCCTGGGAAAGGTGGGAGTTAGCTAGTCAGTGTGTCTGCTTTGAGGTGGTGAAGGAAGAAACAAGTCAGTGGAAAAGCCTGCAGACTGAGAGGGGTAAAGGAAATTAAGTTCCATAGATGGAAAGGAAATTAGGATGTAATCAGAAATGGCGAAGTTGCTTGCACAAAGCATGGTTAAGGATGGCATCGCGGCTGCCATAAGAGAACTTGTCAGAACACTTTATTGCATGGATCATTCTTTACTCCCACTTTCTAATATTTGATTTCTCCCCAATTTTCTTCATTTTCAATTTTGTTCCATTAAATTTATACATGGCCAGGTGGCTTCCTCATTAATTCTTTTGTCATGAAACCCAGGTTCAGGAAAAGGATCTTTACTCTGTGCCAAAACGATTGAGTTCAGAAAACTGTGAGGAGAGGCTGACAAAAGTCAGGGCTGAGCTGAAGTGACTGTTGAGTAGAAGAATAGGATTTTATTTGTATTCACCAGGGCTCGGAGAACATAAGAATGGCCATACTGGGTCAGACCAAAAGTCCATCCAGCCCAGTATTGTGTTGACCGACAGTGGTCAATGCCAGATGCCCCGGAGGGAGTGAACCGAACAGGTAAGGATCAAGCCATCTCTCTCCTGCCATCCATCTCCACCCTCTGACTGAGGCTAGGACACCATTTCTTACCCATATTGGCTAATAACCATTAATGGACTTAACCTCCATGAATTTATCTAGTTCTCTTTTAAACCCTATTATAGTCCTAGCCTTCTCAACCTCCTCAGACAAGGAGTTCCACAGGTTGACTGTGTACTGTGTGAAGAACTTCCTTTTATTGGTTTTAAAAGCGTCACAATGACCCACTGTACCCAAACACACACCCTTGTATTGGGAGTAACATGACTTTGGCCTCTCAGGGACAGAAGAATTTGTAGTCTTCACCCTATTTTCAGATGTGCCTTTTCCCATTGATTGGCTGCCTTCCCCAATTGGTCCTCTGGGCTGAGAACAGCCAATCAAAGCTGCTGCAGGAAACAGAGTACTTTTGCTGCCCTATTCTTCCTTAGAAGCAGACACACGTTGGCAGGGGAGAGGAAGCAGCAGATACTGTTTACTTAAGAGGCAGCAAGGATACAGCACTCAGGGCAGCCTTGCAATTTCCCTCTGCGCTACTGTGGGGAAAAAGAGTGAACTCCCCCTCCCCACCCTGCTACTCAACAGTTGCCCTAGGTCTGACGTGGAAGGTGAAGTAAAGAGTTTCCACAGTTGAGGGAAGAGTCAGGGTTTAAGGGACAAGCTCATAGATTCCAAGATCAGAAGGGACCATTGTGATAATCTAGTCTGGTCTGCTGTGTAACACACAAATAAAACTTCCCCAAAACCATTCCTAGCACAGATCTTGTAGAAAATCATCCAATCTTGAATAAAAACTTGTCAGTGATGGAAACTCCACCAATATCCCTCAATTTCCAGCCGCTGGGTGAAGTTATGCCTTTCTCTGCTAGACTGCACAGCCCATGGCTAAATAGTTGTTCCCCATGCATATATTTATAGCATGTAATCCATCTAGTCACCCGTTAACCTTCTCTTTATTAAACTAAATAAACTGAGCTCTTTGAGTCTAGTCACATCAGGGCATGTTTACTAATCCTTCAGTCATTCTTGTGGCTCTTCACTGAAAGGTGTGGTTGAGGGGGCAGAGTTTAGGTAGTTCTGGGAACTGGGACAGATATCAGGTCTGGAGGTACAAAATTGTGAGAATGGGACTGCATGCTTCTGGGGCTGGGGGAGAAAGAAATTTTGCTATACTTTGTTGCTCTAGGTTGTGAACATTGTTTTAAATGAGAAATGGAACAGAAAATTATTGAAGGATTACACAGATGACACCACTGCTGTGCTAGCTTTTTATTAGCAATTTATTGAACATAATTTGAAAATGCATCTCTAACCCATAAAACTGCAAGTGAGAGTGCATGTCTTGATAAAAGGCACTGAACAGCTATGGACAAATTGTGTTAACAGATCCCTCTGCTCTCTTCAGTTCTGGCTCCTCCAGGCATGCCTATACTAGGGAATTATTTTGAAATAACTCCCAAAATAACAATTTCAAAATATGCTTATTCCTCTTCCCAAGCAGGAGTTATTTTGAAATAAGCCCTTTATTTCCAAATAATGGGCTTGGTAGTGTGGACGCTCGCCTGTTATTGCAAAATAACTCCCTAGTGTAGACATGCCCTCCTACAAAAATGCCTCAACCGACTTCAACTGTCCATCCTGCCAAACTGTCCTGCAACTCCCAAGCAAATTACTGAAACCTCTACCTGTCTGACAAGAGAATCCCCACGCTTTTCTAGCTGTTAAATTTTCCTGTAATAGCTCCCATTGGCACTCACGCGCCCCGGAGATATGCCTTAATCCAACCCTCCCCTCTCTTCAGAATGCCTGCCTCCCAGTTTGCTATGTAGTTGTCGACAAACCCCTTTAATATCCATCTACTAACTCACTTTAAGACACAGTGAGCACACTGGACTCTCCTGAAATCCCCTCACTACAGAGCACCCCACATGTGCCAGCTTTTCCTTTTTTAGCAGAATATTTTTCAGTTGTTGCTCATCCAAACAGTTCCCCCAGCCTGCTATTTCACTGCCATGTATAACGTTTGTGTCTTTCTATAGTATTCATGTGTTGGCAGATATGTTGTCTTCATCTGTGACACTCTCAGCAGACCATCAACACTCATAAGTAAGCATGATGACCTCTCTCCTGGATATCATACCATTCTCTCACTCCCTGGCCAGCCCCTTGCTTCTCTATTCTCTTCTCTCCCAGCTATTCTTTGTAGATGTCATCCACTTAAGACATTGGCTAGCATTCTATGGATTAACAGATCATTTTGTGAATTTACAGGAACATTTCAGCTGTTTACAATAGAAAGTGCATTCTCACCCAATTGCCACTTGAACATAGAGGTAAAGAATTAGCAGTTCATCACATATTATTTGAAAGCACAAACCCTTCATTAGTATATAGTACACAATCAGTCAGGCCAGCCTTCATCATTTGCTTAAATAATGCCCTGTGCAAGCCAGACACCTCTGGATCCTCCCCTTCAGCCCAAAAATTTAGAAATAAATTATTCACATCATTCTAACCCTATAGTTATCTGTACTCCAAATAGCTGCCCTGGTCGTGTCCCAGAAAGCTGGCCCATGTAATCAGCAGAAGTAGATATGAGAGGTCATGGTAACGAACAGTCATTGTTTGCAATGTTGTAAATTGTTATAGTATAATTTTATTAAAAACAAATCTGGTTTGATACTGCTTGGAAAGGCCGGGCTAGTGTGTGCAAACATCATAGTTACATTTGCAGCCACCAAATATGATTATCTCCATAATGAGCCTATTTTCAGGGTGATCTGGGTCTTGGCAAGGCATTTTCAGTTCCTTTTTATGCATTGTGATTGGTGTACAGCAGCCGCATTCCACATCTACCATCATCTTTGCAACATTCAGCCTGTTAAAATGAAGACAAATCAAGAATTTAATTAGATGAAACAGCTGGTTGCAAGCCCTTTGCTCAAGAGATGGGTTTACAGACCATGTTCTATCTTATATGGAAAGTACATCTCAAGAACATGCCTGCAAGTTTTATCCAGCTTGTTCTGAAGGGTTGTGTCATTTGTACTTCTGACAGAATGACATTGTAGGGATTTTGGCTGTAGTATGCTGCTGGGGTGGCAGTTAGAACCACAAATGTTTATGGCATGAGTTAAAACCCTTTGTGCTTCAAACATTTTAAAACATAAAAGGATACATTGAAATAAATATAAAACCCAGGGCCAGATCCTCAGCTGTTTTAAACTGCCAAGTCAGTGATTCATACTGTTTTGAGTATTTGGCTATAAGATTCAAAGATACACATAGATAAGCTTACAAATTAGAGGTGTATATATTTAAAATAATTTGATCATTCCCTCTAGGTAACAGCTGGTATCACAGAGACCTGGTGGGAAAATACACACAATTTGAATATTGGTATAGCAGGGTACAGCTTGCTCAGGAAGGATAGGCAGGGGAAAAAAGGAGGAGGTTTTGCCTTATATATTAAAAATGTACACACTTGTACTGAGAGAGTTGGATGTCGGAGACAGATTTGTTGAGAGTCTCTGGGTTAGGTTAAAAGGGGTAAAAAACAAGGGTGATGTCATGCTAAGGGTCTACTACAGACGACCTACCCAGGCAGAAGTGGTGGATGAGGCTTTTTTTTTTTAAACAACTAACAAAACCGTCCAAAGAGCAGGATTTGGTGGTGATGAGGGACTTCAACTACCCAGACATATGTTGGGAAACTAACACAGGAGGGCACAGATTATCCAATACATTCTTGGACTGCATAGGAGACAATTTTTTATTCCAGAAGGCTGAGAAAGCTACTAGGGGGAAAGCTATTCTAGATTTGATTTTAACAAATAGGGAGGAATTATTTCCTTCCAAACTATTTAGCTTGGGTGAAAGTGATCATGAAATCATAGAGTTCATGATTCTAAAGAATGATAGAAGGGAGAGCAGCAAAATAGAGACAATGGATTTCAGGAGGGCAGATTTTAGTAAACTCAGAAAGCTGGTAGGTAAGGTCTTATGGGAAGCAAGACTAAGAGGAAAAACAACTGAAAAGAGTTGGCAGTTTTTAAAGGGGCTTTATTAAGGGCCCAAAAGCAAACTACAGTCTCTTCCTGACTTACGAACCGGTTACGGACCAAGAAATTGGTCGTAACTTGGTTTGTTTGTAAGTCGGACCCCATAGAGTTACATGCAACTGCACTGTTTGTAAGTGTGGATCGCGTTCGTAACTCGGGGTCCGCCATTTATGACAGCTTCAGTCATAACTGTGAATGGTCATAAGTCGACTGTTCGCAACTTGGGGACCGGCTGTATTCTGCTTCATAAGAAAGATAGAAAGTATGGCAAGAGACCACCTTGGCTCCACCAGGAGATCTTAAATCATTTAAAAATAAAAAAGGAGTCTCATAAAAACTATGTCAAAGTACAAAGGGCAAAATTAAATATGCAAGGGCAAAATTAGAAAAGCGAAGGCACAAAATGAGCTCAATCTAGCTAAGAGTAACAAGAAGACATTCTACAAATATATTAGAAGCAAGAGGAAGACCAAGGACAAGGTAGGTAGGCTTACTGTTCGGTAAAGAGGGAGAAACAATAACAGGAAACATGGAAATGGCAGAGGTGCTTTTTGATCTGAGGAAGTGGGTCTGGCCCACGAAAGCTCATCATCTAATAAACCATCTTGTTAGTCTTTAAAGTGCTACATTGTCCTGCATTGTGCTTAATGATGACTTTGTTTTGGTATTCATCAAGAAGATTGATGGTGACAGGATGCCCAGCACAGTGAATGCTAGTGGAAATGGGGTAGGTTTAGAAGTTAAAATAAAAAAGAACAAGTAAAAAGTTACTTAGAAAAATTAGATGTCTGCAAGTCACCAGGGCCTGATGAAATGTGTCCTAGCATACTCAAGGAGCTGATAGAGGAGGTTATCTGAGCTTTTAACTATCACCTTTGAAAAATCATGGAATATGGGAGAGATTCTAGAAGACTGGAAAATATAGTGCCCATCTATACAAAGGAAAATAAGAACAACCCAGGAACGACAGACCAGTCAGTTTAACTTCTGTGCCAGGGAAGATAATGAAGCAAGTAATAAAGGAGTTAATCTGCAAACACCTGGAAGATAATAAGATGACAGGTAACAACCAGCATGGATTTGTAAAGAATAAATCATATCAAACCAATTGAATAGCTTTCTTTGATAGGATATCAATCCTTGTGGATAAGGGAGAAGCGATGGATGTGGTATACCTAGTCTTTAGTAAGGCATTTGATACAGTCTTGCATAGCTGCCTTATCAATAAACTAGGGAAATACAACCTACGTGGGTGCATAATTGGCTGGATAACCATTCTCAGAGAGTAGTTATTAATGGTTCACAATCATGCTGGAAGGGCATAACAAGTGGGGTTCATAGAGGGTCTGTTTGGGGCCAGTTCTGTTCAATATCTTCATCAATGATTTAGATATTGGCATAGAGAGTACACTTATCGGGTGCGTCTAGACTGGCAAGATTTTGCGCAAAAGCAAGTGCTTTTGCGCAAAAACTTGCCAGCTGTCTACGCTGGCCGCTTGAATTTGCGCAAGTGCACTGACGTTCTAATGTAAGAATTCAGTGCTTCTTGCACAAATAGTTTGACGCTCCCGCTCAGGGATAAGCCCTCTTGCGCAAGAAGGTCAGTGTAGACAGGCACCTTAATTTTTTGTGCAAGAAAGCCTGATGGCTAAAATGGACATCGGAGCTTTTTTCTGCAAAAGCGCGTCTATACTGGGCGTGGATGCTTTTGCGCAAAAGCACTAGATGCTCTTTTGCGGAAATACTTTTAACGGAAAAACTTTTCCATTAAAAGTATTTCCACAAAATCATGCCAGTCTAGACGCAGCCATTAAGTTTGCAGATAATACCAAACTGGCAAGGGTTGCAAGTGCTTTGGAAGACAGGTAATAATTCAAAATGATTTGGACAAACTGGAGAAATCGTTTGAGCTTAATAGGGTGAATTTTAATTAAGACATTTAGAAAGAAACAATCCATTTCACAAATGCAGAATGGGAAATGATTGTCTAGGAAGGAGTACTGCAGAAAGGGATCTAGGGGTCATAATGAACCACTAAATGTGAGTCAACAGTGTGACACCTGCAAAAAAAAGCAAATATGATTCTGGGATGCATTAATAGGAGTGTTGTGAGCAAGACATGAGAAGTGATTCTTCCTCTCAACTCTGCGCTGATTAGGCCTCAGTTGGAGTATTGTGTACAGTTCTGGACACCACATTTCAAAAAGATGTGGAGAAACTGGAGAAGGTCCAGAGAAGATCAACAAAAATGATTAAAGGTCTAGAAAACATGTCCTATGAGGCAAGGCTGAAATAATTTGACCTGTTTAGCTTAGAAAAGAGAAGACTGAGAAGGGACATGAGAGCTGTTTTCAAGTATCTAAAAGGGTGTCACAAGGAGGACGGAGAAAAATTGTTCTCCTTGGCCTCTGAGGATAGGACAAGAAGCAATGGGCTGAAATTGCAGCAAGGGAGGTTTAGGTTGGACATTAGGAAAAACTTCCTAACGGTCAGGGTGGTTAAACTTGGAAATAAATTGCCTAGGGAAGTTGTGGAATCTCTGTCACTGGAGATATTTAAGAGCAAGTTGGACAGACTCTATCAGGGATGATCTAGAAGGTACTTGTTCCTGCTGTGGGAGCAGGGGACTGGACTCTGACCTCTCAAGGTCCCTTCCAGTTCTAGTCTTATATGATTCTAAGAACTAGGAACACAACTCCAATGAAAATTTGTGGGATTTGATTGCACAGTTTCCCTTGAATTCCTTTAAGCATTCCAACCTAAATATAATTTTTGTACCTTCAAGACTGTCCATTAAATTGTAGTGGGTCTCTGAAATAGCTGTTGTTTACACAGAGGTTATATTATGCATTACCCATTAACAACGTCTTTTAGCACACTTTAGAGGTTTAAATATTTATTTTCCTAACTCCAAGCACCAAAATCTCAGCTAGAAATCTGAGAGTCAAGCTATGTCACTTTCTGGGTCTGATGTCAATAATAGAGTATGAAATAGGAAACTTCCTGTGCTCTAGCTGTAATGATGTTACAGAGCTAATGAGTAAAAATAGTAAAAATTAATTTTAGACACTAAATTAAGCAGGTAAATCTTGTATTCTACCTTGAAGGTGCTATTTCTCATAGTTAATTTTCTGCTTATAGCCAGCTACATTTTAAAGAGCAAATTCTGTCATACTTAATATTTCCAATTAAATTAATGAGGAGGAGAAGCCTATGGTAGAATTTGGCCTAGAGCTCACAATTACATAAGCGTTTCAAATAGAGGAGCTGGAAATGGGAAAAAATATTTTTCCTTTTACTGTTTTTATACCATGTAAGCTAAAAAGAATGGAACAATCTGCTCAATATACCTTAAATTATCTATGTTTTAGCCTCTCTTTCCTTGGTGATTGTGACTATCCTTGGAAATACAAATTATATCTCTCAAAAATAGTTCCATACTGTGCACCCTAAAATCTTTCTCCAATCTAAAGGGCTTGTTGTTTGTTTACTACATATGGTATTTGGCTACTAATTTGTATAATTGCTGATGAAGAACTATGCTTGTTTCTAAGAATGAAATATCTATTCACTGTTTTCTTTTTAATAGCCTTGTTCTGTATGTTGACTACTGTTGGGGATATAATAAACACTTCTATGTTGTTCAGAATTAGTGTACACCACAGTTGGACATCTCCATTCAAGTTAAAGATTCCTAGTTTTATCAGAACCTTTTGCTCATGTAGTGCTATTTATTCACTGAAGTTGTTTGCTTGGGAAAGCCTTTTCATAACTGTAAATAGCATTGATCCATTCACAGCGTGATATCGTGGAGAGTACTGAAATACCTTTATATGTAACATCACTGAATATCACTACGTTGGGAGACATTACGTTGTACAGTATGGTGACCTCCTCTGAACTAAAGAGAAAATCGGCTTGGAATCCTTAGAAGTGATCTATGTCTTGGACATAGATGCCCATACTTTTATTTTAAAGAAGTGGGAAAATATAGTTTTCTGCTTTATGAAGCAGTTCAGCAGACTACTACTTAACAAAGCATGTACTTGTTTAAAAAAAAGATAAAATAAAACTGTGGTTTAGCTTCTCTTTGTGGTGCAGTTTCTCATTGATCCTTACTTTGCTGAAGATGGACACATTCCTTCACAGCGGGTCAAGGTGACATTTGTAGTACACCCTTTGTAAGTCACTTGCTCATCATATTCAACCTCTCTACACATTTCTGTCAAATGTTAAAAAAAAAAAAAGATAATTATCAGAAATCTAACCAGGAAATACTCGATTAGCTCTGATTGACTGAAGGCATAGAGGTTAAATATTCTGGGAAAAAATTTCAGTTAGACATTTTGAATAGGTTAAAGACAAATGATAAATTACAAGCCAATATAAAACAAGTAATTTTTAACTTAAACACTTAGGTTGAGTCTGATGCTGAAATAAGAAAACACATTTGAGAAAAGGGAAAGCAACTGGAACCACAAATGGACAAAATGGAACTCAATTTTAAACAACAAATTTAAAATGACACCCAATAGGGAAAACACTCAAACTGAATTACTGATGAGAATGAAAGGAAACAAGTAACATAGGCTATCAAACAAGTTCTGGTTAAATAATCTTTGATTTCTTTGCCTTCTAAATATTGTAGAGATTGATGGATTAAAGTACTTATAAAACTGCCTCTTCGATATAACATGTCCAAAAACAAATGGCAATCTGATATACCCAGCACACAGAATGCCAACTAGAGGGCCTGTGCATCAATCAGGCTAATTTTATAAGGATTTACTTCTCGTCTTCCCACTAGACTTGCATTCTACGTGAAACACACAATGTTACTTGTTGCTTAGTGACTATACTCAATAACGTTACTAAGTGAAATATGTTGACATTTTATATCATGAGGTAACTCAGATTAACACTTCACACTGAGCAAATGGACTGAAAGGTCCCATGGCTAGTAATGCTGTGAACATGGATTGCTTTCCCCCCTGGGACTCAGCCCCTCCTAATACGCTTAAGTGAGCATCCCTAATGGGTCCTTAAACTAGTGCTAAGCTCTCATCCAAAAGAAGGATTGCTGGGCTACAGAGCCAGTTAGGCTATCGAATTGACAAAGTAAATTGAATACATTTTTAGCAAACTTAACACCTATTCTATTAGCCACAAGGATGGGACGCCTCCTTCCAACCATTTTATTGGTTGAATCTCAAGAGCAGTATTTGAGCCCTTCACTTTGACTAAAACTTAGCTCTTTGAAAGGCATTGGTAATGTCCTGAAGGTTAGGAACTATATATGAGATACACACATAGGGGATGAACAAGTGTTAGAAGAAAGAAAATAGCAGAAATCACCATGGGAGCCAACACAGTTCAATTACCTTGCCCAGTGGCTGAAGAACTTACCTTTTAAAGGTGCTGTAGGAGGTATTTTGTCTGTGAAAGAGGAATACACAATAAATCATGTGAATAAAAAGAAACAAAGCAGATAACAAAACTTTAAAGATCAAATATCTGAGGAAATATTTTGAGATTTATTTTTTCTCCCATTCCAACAAGGGACTCTCAACCTGTGTGACATCAAAGGAAATACAGGATATTTTAGTTGGCTATAAATAGCAAAATACCATAGCCTTTAATCAGGGGGCCAAATCTTTGCACTGTAAAAATGATATTGGTTTTATACAGTCTCTTCCCTACCCAGGCTATCAGAAAACACTTGACAAAATGAGTTATGTAATCCATTTCAAATGATTTTGGATGCATGGAACAAGATATTTTTCTCTTTCATCCAAAAACTAAACAGAGCTCTTAATGCTTTTTCACCTCAGTTACCAAAGGTGGTCAGTACTGCTGTGTAAAAAGAGCATTTGGTTGTCAGACACATAATATGAGTGACTGCAGAATTGTGGTGGACACTACTGTGTAAGCAAGCAAAGATCTTCAAAATAGAGAGCTACTCTGACTGCAGTTCTCCTCCTTGAGCAGACAGGGTTTTAAAGTACAATTTTCATAGGTTATATTTTGAAAACAATTACTAACATACTTTTGGAAAACATTATCCCCTACCTTTTCCAAATATCCTATCAAAGGAAAGATCTGAATGAACAAGTAGTTAACCTTGGAGAGACTGGTGTAGTTATCAAATTCTTAACTGGTATTCTCATGCTACATGCACTAACTCGCAAACAGTTGGGAATTTATAACTCAAACACAATATTCCCATGCCCTTCATGCAAAACTGGTGTATAAGAGAAGTTAGGAGAAAAGGAAGACTTGTACAAGTGGACAATTTAAACCTTCCCATCCTATAGTGTCAAGTACCAGTTTCAGAAGTGGTCAGTGGTACTTCTAGCCAATTCTAATACCTTTTCTACATTAAAGGCTAAGAGAGGGGCTGTTCAGTTGTCAAAATTATTTTTATTACAGTGAGTTGAAGATGGTTCTTATGCTGACAGAACAGCAGATTTGTGGCAATCCTACTTTTTCCTCCTCTTATTAAAGGAATTATTTTCACAGTAGGAAAGGATATAAAATTGAAAAAGCATATTAAGTTAAGGTATAGCCAATTAATGTAATAAACATATAGGATGTTTCTTGGCTGTTTTTACATGAATAGTCTACTAAAAAGTGAAAATTGTGTCCTGGTAGATGGCTATTTTGATTAATCTCTAAGGGTGTGTCTAGACTACCACGTTTTTGTCGACAAAAGTGGACTTTTGTCGATAAAACTATACCTGCGTCTACACTACTGTCGAGTTCTGTCAACCGTAAGTCGACAGAACGCAGCAGTTTTGTTGATGGCTGTAAAACTTATTCTATGAGGAATAATGCCTTTTTTCAACAGAGTTATGTCAAAAAAGGTGCTATTGCATCCATACTGTGCTTTTTCAAAAGAAAGAGTCTAGACTCTCTGTTGAAAAAGCGGCTTGCTTTATTGACAGAACTGGCTGTAGTCTAGATGCTCTTTTTCGACAGAGGCTTTGTCGACAAAGCCTCTATTGAAAAAAGCCTGTAGTCTAGATGTACCCTTAATGTCAATATTCTGTTCAGAATATAATGAAAAATAAAAGGGTTTTGAATAGAACACAAAAGGCATTATTACATCTTCAAGAAATACTGATGATGGTTGTTACGCATTTAGCGGTGGGATCTTAAAAATGCTGCCAAAAAATGCTGCTAAATACATTCTAAACCCAATAATATATTACTTCACATAAAGCCCATATTTTTCAGCTGCAGCAGCATGAGTATCAAAAAGGAAAAAGTGGAACGGAGACCATGAATGCAATTAGGGACATTTGTTAATGCTTCATTAGATCTCATCTGGTTTGAGGCTTGTGACTATAAGGTGTACTCTTATGTAAGTACATTCCAAAATTAAGTAAAATGATGTAAAAAGTGATTGCAGTCTATAAAAGTATGAAAAACTATAATTCATTGTATAATAATGCATTTAAAACTTACAAGTGGAATGCAATATTGTAGCGATTATGGTAGAAGGAGTAGTTGTTACATTGAATAGAGCTGTGGTTTTTGTTGAGGTTGGTGCTATATATGTAGTTGATTTGCTGATGGCAGTCTCAGCTGATGAACTAGTTGGGGTAGTTGAAAAAGTTGTGGTTTTTGGAGTAGTGGATGTTATCATGGTGTGTGTTGAAGGCGTAGATGTGAGGGTAGTACTTTCCGATATAGTTTTTTTGGTGATTGAGGTAGTGACAGGAGGCAGAGTTGAAAATTCTGTTGAGGTAGAACTTGGAGTAGTTGGTGAAGTGCTCATTGTGGATTTAATAGAAGTACTGGAAGTTGTAATTTTTCTGGTTGGCTCTTTCACTGCAAAGTAAGAGAAAGGGAAAAAGTGAGCGTGTGATGGGGCTAAATGAAGATACCTTCTCAAACTATCAAACAAGCAATTTAAATTCACATATATACAATATTTTGGACCAGTGAGCTTTCTGAGGTGATAAAAAAGGTATCAGAGTAATGATTCCAAAATTCTTGAATAAAGAAACCCATGTAGCGTAAAAACATTTGAAAGACAGATATTGTACCAGTAATTTCCCATGCACAGAATAAAAGCAATGACTAAAATCTACCGGTTGGTGTGGTCCTCGTTGTGGACTTAGTTGAGGTAGCAGTAGAAGAAATTCCAGTCAGTGTTGTGGGTTTCATGGTGGTTGGGGTAATGGGCTCCATCGTTGTCTGTGTGACAGATGTGAGTGTAGTTGGTGTGGTGGTTGTGCTGGATGTGGTAGAGGTAATGGAAGGTATAGGGGTTGTCAGTGATGTGGTTTTTGTGGTGGTAGAGGTGGTGGTTTGCGGGGAAGTGGACTTCGGTATAACGATCTCTGTTGAACTAGTGGTCAAGGTAGTAGTCGTCAGAGTGACTGTTGTAGGTGTAGCTGGTACGGCGGTTGTGCTGGATTCTGTAGACATAGTAGGAGTACTTGTTGTCAGAGTTGTGGTTATCAGCCTAGTTTTTGGTGAGGAGGTTGGAGTGGACTCTGTAGAAATAGTGGTTTTAGACGTTGTAGAGACAGATGTGGTTGGTGTGGTTTTCGTCGTACTGATGGGGGTAATTCTTTGTGGCGTTGTGACTTCTATGCTTTTTGTTACTGTGAGGAAGAAATGAGTTGATATGGTAAGACTGACAAGAAAATGGTGGATTGCAGAAGAAGAGTTTACTATAAAAATATGAAATAGGTTTTCAGAGGGAGCCCAACTTTGTGTTAGATTAAGCAAAAACATTTTTGGAAATAATTGATAAGTGGCCCTTTCTCATCCTTCATTAAAAAGAAATGGGGAAGCACTTGAATAAGGAAGTCCTGACTTGAGGCAGAATTGTAGGCCAAGATGACTCTTTTCATACAAAGCAAGTATAAAGAAAACAAAAGAAAACAGTTTGAATGCTGTGTGACTAAAGGAAATAGGCCTTTGCTAATCTTCAACCAAGGCTATTACACTGACCTAACTGGAAAATGAAATCTCACTGATGTACTCGTATCCCCAGACAGAAAGTACCCATGTTTTTTTACTCTTCTCTACAACCTTTTTAAAACTCTCTGGGTCTGTTTCCTTTCAATCACATTAATTGGAAATGCTTTTCAAAATGTGTCTTTCTCATGAAGGCAAAGAGACTGCAATTTGGGGTATTGGCCTCTATGTCCAGACCCAATAATTAGTTTGAGTAAAATATCTACACAATTCTAATAACTAAGGCCATGTCTTCACTAGGAAACAATTCCAAAATTACTAAATTTGACTTAAAAACTCCTAATATAACAAATTTGAACTAGCATGTCCTCACTACGGGGCTGCATTAATGTGGACATGCTACCTTGGACTTAAGAGCCCCAGAAAGCACTGGGGAGTAATTAGATTGAATTACTCTGTGGAGAAATTATTTAGAAATAGTGGCATTGGAGTGACCACACTCCTGTAATTTCAAAATAATTATTTTGGAATTAGTGTTAATCCTGATGCAAAGCAGGAGTACAGATTTCAAATTCTGTGACTTGTTATTTCAAAATAACGTACTTGGTAGTGTGGGTGCTCCACTTATAAATTCGGGAGGTTATTTTGAAATAGACTCCTAGTGTAGACCAGGGCTAAGAGTCTAAAAAGGAGGGGGACAATGGAGGAAGAGTAAGCTTTGCACAGTGAGTAAAAGCAAGTAAGAGACTAGGAAAGAATGCTATTTTTGCCATGTACTTCCCATATGAATGACATTCAGGGTACGTCTAAACTACATGCCTCCGTCGACGGAGGCATGTAGTTTAGACGTACCCTGAATGTCATTCATATGGGAAGTACATGGCAAAAATAGCATTCTTTCCTAGTCTCTTACTTGCTTTTACTCACTGTGCAAAGCTTACTCTTCCTCCATTGTCCCCCTCCTTTTTAGACTCTTAGCCCTGGTCTACACTAGGAGTCTATTTCAAAATAACCTCCCGAATTTATAAGTGGAGCACCCACACTACCAAGTACGTTATTTTGAAATAACAAGTCACAGAATTTGAAATCTGTACTCCTGCTTTGCATCAGGATTAACACTAATTCCAAAATAATTATTTTGAAATTACAGGAGTGTGGTCACTCCAATGCCACTATTTCTAAATAATTTCTCCACAGAGTAATTCAATCTAATTACTCCCCAGTGCTTTCTGGGGCTCTTAAGTCCAAGGTAATGCTGGAGCTTTGTGATAGGGGCTACTTTCCTCTCAAAGTCCCACTTCTCTATAAGATTCCAATTATCCAGTATCCTGCAACCTGTTTCCTCCACTTCCTGGCAACAAGCACCACAGCAAGGAGACTTGGCTTTGCCTCCAAAGGGGGAGATTGGGCTCCCTGGCTGTGCCAGATAGGAGTGATTGCAAGGTGACTTTTTCCAATTGACCTAAACAGGCCTATATGAGAGAGCAGAAAGCAAGGCCAGTTAATAAAAATGTTGCAATCATTTTCATAGGTGCAGGTGCCAAAAAGTAATGGTCACAATTTTTTTATTAAAAAGCCTAGGTAGCTTAAAAGCAATTGAAATACATTATCATGCCAATAGTTACCCATGCACATAATGAAACCAATGACTTACATGTACCAGTTGGTGGTGGTGATGTCCTGATTCTGAAGGTAGTTGGAATAGCAGTAGAAGAAATTTCTGTCATTGTTGTGGCTTTTATTGTGCTCAGGGTGGTGGACTCTGATTTCGTGCTCTCTGCAGAAGCATTGGTCGGGGCTGTTGTTATCGGAGTAATGGTTGTCTGTGTAGTTGGTGTGGTGGTTTTGCTTGTAGAAGTAAGGGCAGGAGTTGGGGATGTCAGCATTGTGGTTTTTGTGGTGGAAGAAGTTGTGGTTTGGGTGGAGGTGGAGATCTTCGTTGAACTAGTGGTCAAAGTAGTTGTCGTCAGAGTGACAATTGTGAATCCAATTGGTGTGGCAGTTGAGCTGGACTCAGTAGATGTAGTGAAGGGAGTAGTTGTTGTCAGAGTTGTGGTTATCAACCTGGTTTTTGGTATGGAGGTTGAGGTAGATTCTGATACAGTGGTTTTGGATGTTGTAGAGACAGATGTCGTTGGTGATGTTTTTGTTGTACTTATGGGGACAGTTCTTTGTGATACTGTGGTTTGTATGGACTTTGTTTCTGTGAGAGAAAAATGTGAGTTGATATGGTGAGATTGACGAGAAAATGATGGATTGCACAAACAAAATATAGAATGAACATATAATAGCCTAAATATGAACAGGCTTTTCAGAGAGCCCTTTGTGCTAACTTGGTGCTAGATTAAACAAGAAAAATGTTGGAAGTAATTGACAAATGGCCCTCTCTCATCCATAGTAATGAAGAAACTGGGTAGCACTTGAAATAAGTAACATTTCTGCCTATCCTGTTTAAAAAAAATATGCAAGCCTACGTACAGACTTGAGAAAGGAACACAGTGTGTGCCAGAGTGTGAGTGAGCTGGAGTTACTTACTTCCTATTGATGGAACATATATAAGGAGGGAAGAAAACCTGTCTCACTCTTTTGAGTTAGTGTAGGAAGGTTTTGTGTTACATATGTTCCTGCCTTAATGTCCATTGCCCCAATCCATTTGGGGTTGAATAGTTTTCTATGGGGAAATGAACTCTAGTCTCCTTGAAACCTAATAATTTTTATAAGATTCCACTTGCACACATGTGTCAACCCACTGCAAATGAACACAACATTATTTTAGTTTGCAAGTGTCTACCGCTATCCTTCGGAGAAGTTGAATGATTTCTGTTCTAACACTTGCCTCTGGTGGCAGGAGTTGGGGGCTCAGGGGAAAGATCAGCATGGGGTGGGAGCTTGGAGAGAATATGTAGCATTCAGGCAGAGGGCAGGAGGAAAGGGGCAGTGCTGGGGACGGGAGAGGTGGGGAGTGCAGCCTTGGGAGAAAGGGCAGTATATGGACAGACCTCAGTAAGAAGTAGATGTGCAGGGGCAGGATCTCAGGAACTAAAAGGAGTGGAAGGGTAGTTTGTTGAGGTAAGTGGAAGCATGGGATCGGTGGGGAAAAAGTCCAGACTGCAGTGGTCCCATCTTGTACAATGTTTCCACTTGGCATGTAAAATCCATTTGAAATGATAATCGTGTAAATGATATGTTTAACTGGTTAGCTGGCCCATGGCATGGTGGCCCCCTGCGAACAGGGACTGCTCCGGCCAGGCCAGGCCGGGCGGGGCCCATTGCACTGTACCATTAGTGGGGGAGGGCAGGCTGCTCCAGCTCGGCCGAGTACCAGTTACCCCGGTAAACATGTTAGGTAATGGGGTTAACCAGTTACCCATTTACATCTCTAGACTCCACTGTCACTGACTTATAGAGACCAGGGATCTGCTGCTTAAGCCCAGTAAGCATACTGTATTTTGAGGACACTATATCAGCTGTAAGAAGTTATTTTGCATCTATTGTTTAGGATCCAGATCTCAAGGGAATCAATTTAAGAAACGAAAACCAAAACAGACCAAAAGAATTTGATAAAACAAAACTTAAGCAAGGCTGAACCACAATAGGGATGTTAGCTATCGACTAATTTAGTTATCGTGTAACCACATGAACTTTTAGCAATTGCACAATTATTTGATAGTCAATGGGGGCAGGGCCAGTAGCCAATGCACTCCCAGCCCAACCCCCAGGGAGCCCCCTGCCACACCATGCTGCTGCCTCTGTTTCAGAGGTAGCAGTACGGGGTGGCAGGTAGAGCCAGTCCATGAGGGGAGCTGCTTTAAAAGTGGTGGGGGGGGGATCCCCACCAAGCTGCTATCTCAGTCAGGGGCATCAGCATGAAGAGAGAAGGGGAGGCTGCTGTGGAGCAGCCTTTGTCCGTGGTGGGCCTGGGCTCACAGCAGACAGAGGCTGCACCAGCATCACCACTCAGCAAGGGGAGGAGCAGGTGGCTCAGCAGGAGATGATAAATGTGCACAGGCAGACGGCTTAAAAGCCAGCTTCCTGTTTGTACCTGCTCCCCTCACCCTCTGCGCTGCTGCTTCTCTATCAGAGGTAGCAGCATGGGGATGAGGGAGGGGCAGATGGCTCCATGGGAACTGGCACCAGCTCCCGCCTTCCCCTCTTGCTGCCTCTAATGCAGAGGCAGTGGGGGGGGCAGTACGTGTAGTTGATAGGATTAACCGATAAGCCTAGGCTTATTGGTTAATCATGTAGTCGGTTACACGCTGCCATCCCTAATCCACAACTCTCATTTTACTCACTTGAATCTGGAATTTTCACCTTGAGATAGAAGTAGTAAATATAGGGACTCTTTTCATGCAAAGCAAAAGTATAAAGAAAAGAAAAAAATCCTATATTCTTCTGTGTGAGACTAAATTAAGTAGGCCTTTCCAAAACATCCACCAAGGCTATTATAGTGGCATGAATCGAGAAAGCACCCACATTGTTTGACTTTATCTAGAGTTCCTTTAAAAATGTCTGGATCTGTGTCCTTTCAGTCAAAATGACAGGAAATGGTTTTTGGTCTGTGCCATTCTAAGGAAGGTCGACTGGATTACACTGGAATGAAACTAATTTATTAACCTGTGTTCGTATTCAGGAACTAAGTTGTGTGAAATATCTATGAGGATGTATGCACATCTAATGAGTAAGCATCTGAAAAAGAGGTGGAATATACTGGAACAGTGAGATTGCATTATGAGAAAAAGCAAAGAAGAATGACTCAGAAAATTGCTGTGTTTACACCACGCTTCCCAGAAGAGTGGCTTTTAATTTTCTATGATGGAGCCTTGTGTCAGGACCTGCTCTTTTCTCAAGTCTTTCATACAAGATTCCACTTTCCCCCAATCCTATAACCTCTTTCCTAACTTTCCTTGGCAACAGGAACCACAGCAAGAAGACATGGCTTTGCCTGATAGAGGTAAGATTGGGCTCCCAGGCTCTGCAGTACTGGAGTGACTCCATGTGTCTGTGGAAAGGGACTTTTGCCAATGGGTCTAAATAGAGGAATGTCAAGAAGAGGAGGGAGTGGGAGGTAAATAAAAATGCCAATGAATAGAAATGATGCTATGGCCTTCCTATTAGGCAAATATGAAAAAATAATGGTTCACAAGTTTGGATAAAGAGGCCTATGTAATGTACAGGTTGAACCTCCCAAATCCAGGTCTCTCTAGTTGGGCAACATCCGTGGTCTGGTCTGCAGTAACTAGGTCAGGTGGTAGCTGGGGAACCCCAGCCCAGCTGTGGAGCCCCTGGCATCACTGGAGCCAGGCGGGAGTGAGGAGCTCTACCCTGGCCAAAGAAACCCTGGCATTTAGCAGGACCAGGTAGCAAATGGGGCTGCCCAGCTGGGGAACTCCCAAGCATTATCTGGGCCAGGGAACCCCAGGAATATCTGTTGGCAGTGGAAGTAGGGTGGCTGGAGAACTCCTAGTGGCAGCAGGCCAGGTGGCCCTGGCTGGGGATCTCCCCGGCATCATTGGAGCTATGGGGAACTGGGGAGCCCTAGCTGGAGAATCCAATCCCCAGTGACAGTGGGGCTGGTTGCCTAGGTGGACCTGGCCAGAGAACCTGGTGTCAATGGGGCCAGGTTGCAGCAGGGAAGTCTTAGCCAGGAATCCCCAGTGGCAGCTGGGAAAATGGCTTCTGAGCAGGGCTGGTGGCAGCCGCTTAGCCCAAGGAACCCTGGGGAACAATGGCAGCAATGGGGCCAGCAGCAGGGTGGGAGCCCCAGCCTTTGGAACTTGGAGGTGGGGCAGCCAGTAGGGGAGCACTGACTTCTCCTGGTCCAGCAAATTCTCTGATTCGGGACCCCTCAGATCCTGAAGGTGCCAGACCAGGGAAATCCAACCGGTAGAAGCAGGAGCACATATACCAGTAATAGTCCAAGCCAAGAAAGAAAGCAATAACTAAAATATACCTGTTGGTTTTGCCCTTCGTGTGGATTTAGTTGACCTAGCAGTTGAAGAAACAGTTGTTAGTGTAGTTTTTAAGGTGCTTTGGGTTGTGGATGCTGATTTGGTGCTCTCTGTTGATGTACTGGTCGGGGCTGTTGTTGTCAGAATGACAGTTGTGAGCGTAGTTGGTGTGGTGGTTGTGGTGGGCATTTTAAATGTAGTGGAAATGGTAGCAGTTGCCTTTGATGTTGTGGTCTCCATTGAGCTGGTGGACAAGGTAGCTGTGGTCAGAGTGACTGTGGGAGTAGTTGGTGTGGCAGTTGTGCTGCTTTCTGTAGACGTAGTGGAAGATGTTGTCATTGTCAAAGTTGTTCCCGATAGACTGGTTTTTTCTGACGTGGTAGGGACAGACTCTGTTGATGCAGTGGTTTTGGACATTGTGGAGACAGGTATGGTAGGTGTTGTTTTGCTCGTACTTCGTGATGTACTTTTGATGATCTTAGTTACTGGGAGGGAAAAATGTGAGTTGATAAGGTGACATTGATAAGAAAATGGTGGATTACACAAATATTATTTATAAATCATTAGATAAACATGCAAAAGATGATTAGAATGAGAACCATTTTCTGCTATATTAAGAGACAAAATTGGACAAAAAATTGACAAGTAGCCCTCACACATCTTTAGTAAAAAAGTAATGGAGCAACATAAGCAATAGCTAATTCAACTGACAATCTTGTAAAACAAACAAAATTGTATAAATTCAAGTGCATGTACTGTTTTATAAACAAGACTAGATGTTTTGGGAAAGGAAAAGGTTGTGGTCTGTTTCAGAGGTTTAATCCTCCTGATTCAAGATTTATAGGGCATGAATAGACAATATTTGACAGTTCTCAGGCAGTATATGTGATCATGGAAGGTTTTCTTATGTTTGTTGCTGCTTTGCCATACATTCATCTCATACTTTCTTGGACACACCATACCTCTGGGGAAATGTACTGTGCCATCTAATCTTGAGGGTCTCAAATCAAAGGAGATGAGCAATATTCATCTTTACCTCTTACTTTACAAACTGGCTGTCTGACTCACCAGGTGAGGTTGGAGTAGTAGGTTTAGTTGGCTCTTTTCCTGCAAAGGAAGAGTGTAAAGAAAAGTAAAATGGTTGGATCCTGTCAATGTGACAAAATGAAGACGGCCTTCCTAAACAATCAATCACTGCAATTTCATTTGCCTCACTGGAAACTGAAATGTGCAGCTAAAAGTGATGAGAGGCAATGAGGGAGACAGTAGTCCATATTTTGATTCTTACACTCAACACATTTTTTAAACTCTTTGGATGTGTTTCACTCCAGCCACCTTGTGAGGAAAGAGTTTTCAGTGTGTGCCTTTCTCAGGAAAGCATTGAAACTGCAGTGCACTGGAATGATTAGGGTATGTAGGTGTCTGTGTTGTGAGCATAGCAAGCTAGAAAGAACAGAAAAAAAGCTGTTTACACCATACACTTCCCACTAGAATGGCATTCATTCTCTTATGGTGGAGATTTGACACAGTGACTGCCCTTTTCTCAAAGTCTCTCTTCCTTACCAGATGCCAATTTTGTAACCTCTTTACTCACTTTCATAGGCAGCGCGCCCCAGAGCAAGGAGACTCTGTTTGCCAGCGCTCCCTCTTTCTGCTGGATTGGAGTGACTGAAAGGCACCGTAGAAAGGGGCCTTTGCCACATTGTCTAAATAAAAAAGTCTCAGGAAAAGATGTGGATCAGGACTACAGAGCAGAATTTTTTGTAAGCTAAGCACTAATGCAGACACTCAAATAGCAGCCACAGTTAAATATTTGTATGAATGCACAGTCTCACATGCCTACATACAAAAAAATGTATTCTGCATGCAATGGTAGGAAATAATTGACCCGTGGATGGAAAACCTTACAAGAAAAACTGGTAGACCAAAGACAAGGACGAGAATGAATAGAAATATTGCTGAAGCATTCCTTTGCAAGGTACCAAAACAAAACTGTTCAAAAGGTTTTGGATAAAGATGCCAAAGAGGGGTAGAACTCGGAGAAATTTCCGAAGCCCAGAATAAAAGCAATGACAAAAAAGTACCTGTAGCTGTTGCCATTGGTGTGAACTTTGTTGATGTAGCACTTGAAAAAACAGTTGTGATTGTAGTTTCTAAGGTACTTGAAGTGGTGGTCTCTGAAATACTGGTCGGGGTACTTCTGGACAGAGTGAGAGTTGTGGGTGTAGTTGGTGTGGTGGTTGTGGGGCGTGTGGTAATGGTAGTGGAAACAGTAGGCGTTGACTTGTATGTTGTGGTCTCAGTTGAGCGAGTGGGCAAAGTAGATGTGGAGAGAGAGTGGGTTGTGGGTGTAGTGGGAGTGGTGGGTGAGGTAGATGTAGTAAAGCTTGTGGAAACAGTAGGAGTTGATTTGGATGTTGTGGTTTCGGTTGAGCTAGTGGGCAAGGTGGTCGTGGTGACAGTGAGAGTTGTGGACGTAATTGGAGTGGTGCTTGTGGGGGGTGTGGTAATGGTAGTGGAAACGGAAGTAGTTGGCTTGGGTGTTGTGGTCTCAGTTGAACTAGCGGGCAAGATAGATGTAGTAAGAGAGAGGGTAGTGGGTGTGGTGGATGAAGTGGATGTAGTAAAGGTTGTGGAAACAGTTGGCATTGACTTGGTTGTTGTGGTTTCCGTTGAGCTAGTGGGCAAGGTGGTCTGAGTGAGGGTTGTGAGCGTACTTGGTGTGGTGGGTGTGATAATGGTACTGGAAACAGTAGGAGTTGACTTGGATGTCGTGGATGAGGTGGTAGCGGTCACCGTGAGCGTT